TTTTTTATTTTCTTTTTTTTTTTTTCTTCAAATCAAACGTTCGAGCAAAAGTTATTTCAAACAGCGCGTTATACTTTGACAAATGACGAATGATTTGTAAGAAGAATCACTATTCTCGTAGAACTCACCATTGTGCAGGGTGACTTTGTAAAAGTTGTCGCGACACCGTCGTTTCACCCCTCACTTTCCCGTTTCTCTATTTCTTTCCCTTTTCGTGACAATAATAAAAATCAAATAGTTTCCTAATAATTTATATTATTTATTATTGACGATATAAATAACACTCTATGACACTGCACCACGAACGTTCTTGCATTTCCTATATACCTATCTAAAATTTCTTTGCTATTGTCCAATCTATTTTTTCCCAAAAAAAAAAAAAAATCGTGGATAAACGCAGGTGGGCACACGCGAGGAGGTGTCCAACTCGAGAGTACGCGTACGGTCTTAGAAGCACGAACAGTTTGAAGGGGCACCATCGTAATGGAGAGTCTATATAGACTCCCCTCCAAAGAGAGACAAGCATTGCCATAAAGCGTGTACCCGATGCAATGTAGACGAAACGTGATCCAAGAGAAAGCCTCTCCTTCGATTGGCCAAACGGAACGGGATCCTGGAAATATACTTCGAAGGCACTTTCCGAAGATCGAAAGGGATCGATCATATTTACGTATGCATGATCACGATGGATGACCTTGCCCAGTATGATCTTACCTGCTACCTGCCATCTGGATCATTTTATTCTAGATATTTACTTGATACTTTGTTTTTCTTCTTGCCTTTCTAATTTTTAAATCCCAACGAAATTATCATTCTAATCCTTTTTATTTATTAATGGACCATAATGGATTCTGATCGTGAAAACATAGATTATTTATTGATACGCTCCTTTCTATCCAAGTAACAGCATAACTAATTAATGATGGCATAGTTAATGTACCGAGCACTATATCGAGAGAAGAATCTTTTTACTCTTTCTTCTTTTTATTTTTCTTCTTTTCTTTTTTTCGTTTTTCTTTTCTTCTTTTCTTTTTTTACTTTTTCGTTTTATAAATAACACACGAGCGTGAAAAGTTAATTCAGGTTGTTGAAACATTACAGAGAACCTTACCCTTTTTCTACTATTTCTATTCGTTTGGAACGTCATCTTATACGACTTCTTGAAAGGGTACTCAAGCGATGGGAGTCCAACAAAAAGGGTCGTCGACCTTTCCTCGTCTCACGGACACACTAACGCCAAATGTGTACCTATTTAAATGTACACGCTAAAGAGAATAACTTCTTAGCGTTTACAAACGATGTAATTTACAATCTTATTTTGAAGATCGACAATGTTTAAACTTATCGAGTATGGTCTCTTCGAGTGGTCCATTAAATGATCCATCAAAAATAATGGAGATTGTACGATGTAGACATACGGGAAACTAAATATATAAATAAAGGGTATAAAGGAGAGTTATCAAGTATCTGGGTCTCGAAGATTGGAAGTATCCTTCCCTTTCACTAGCGCAAACCAGAAAAATCGGTACAAATTTCTATGTGTATGTACGTGCGATCCATTAGGCCGGAACGAACACATAGATGAAAGAGAGCTCGGATATGGTATATACATGTATGTATGCATGTATGTATGTATTTATATACATATGTTTGTATGCATTTATGTACGTATGTATGTATGCATTTATGTACGTATGTATGTATGCATTTATGTACGTATGTATGTATGTATATATGTACATACCGAGTATATACATACGTACGTACGTATGTACGTACACGCGTATCGACGGAATCCTTTTCGCTTCTATGTATGTACGTAAGTATATATAGATTAGAAGTTATCACGCATGTGTGGCCGTGCATAAAATAGAGAATAAAAGATAAAAAGGATTCGATGTTAATCCGTAACTCTACTACGTACGTAATATCTAACATCGACGAAGGAATTTATCTCGAATCGAAGTAGAAAGACGAAGATTTTCCCCTATCGCTTAACGTTCGGGCATAGAATAGAAAGGAATCGATTTCAAGGTCAACGTACGAAGGAGAACTCATCGAATTTTCAGTTATCACCCATGACACGTATACGTACGTGTCACGTGATACTGATTATTTAATACCTAAATAAATTCTATTCAAATCTTTCGTATAACATAATTACCGTAGTACATGATATATATTAATAATTATAATAAAATACGAAATTTAAAGTAATTAGATTTTCTTTATGTATGATACATTGATTTAACATTATTAAAAATATTTATTATAGATTTCTTGAAACTGGTTAAATAAAAAATTAGTTCATAAAAAAGTCGAAAGTATAGTAAAATATGATCATTATGAATATAATATATTATTTATATATAAGAAATTATTGTATAAGGAAGGAATGAATAAGTAATAAATCTTTAAAGTGCTCTTAAATGAACTATACAATGCTGTATATATATACAGATTTACATATATATATATATATATATATATATATATATATATATAAATAGCTAAAACGAAATCTACATATGTGTATATATTATACATATCCAACTATCTAAGTAAATAACGTAATTTTCTCATTCGCCAAGATTCGCGTAGTAATTATTCAAAGTATAAGGGACAACTCGGGCCATTGTGAGATACAATGGAGATAACGTCGAAGAATTACCTCTTTCTCAAGTGGCACTGGGTGGATCCACTTCTTTTCATGGATGGTTTGATACTAGTTCTTGCTTTAACTAAGGATAATTAACAACGAAAGGGAAAGGAAAAAAAAAAAAAGTATAGAGAGTATGAAAGTTATGGTTCATTTTCCGAGTGGCTCCGATTTCTCTGTTTTTCGATTTATTGCTTTTTCGACACACCCACGTACACACACACACACACACACACATACACATACATACGGAAAAGAGGATCGTTTTATTTAAAGATAGTTGATTGTATCGGAGACACGTAGCGAATACGCAAGATGCAATCATCAGTGCGCCGTATATCCGGTCATTGAATTCGAACTCTTCTTCTTCTTCGTTATTTACTCCTCCTTCCTCATCTTCGTCCTCTTACCATTGTATGTACACGAACATTGTTCCCTCCCTTTCTACATTTTTCATAAGATACACATCATGTTTTAGGTGGAGTTAACGACGAGAGGGAAAATCTCTACTATCGCATATATCCATATATATGTGCATACATACATACATACATATATAAATACATGGATACACACGCATATAGGTAGATATACACAAATCATCATACAGTCGGAGATTCAAAAGAATATTTTTCAGATGCAATTACCTCTCCATGAAAGAAGTTTCGTCTGAATTGAGAGAACGGTAAAAGAAAAATATTTTATATTCTTGGTAATATTTGCGATAGCAGTAATATTTTATTCATCGAAACGAAAGAAATCATAAGTATATTTCGATTGTAATTATGTCCTTGAAAAGAATTCGTCTCGTTCTTAGTCATTGCCTAATGAAGAGAGTTGAAAATTTTCGTAAGAGTTCGACTAAATGACCCACACTACGATTCCTATCAAAAGTTGCATAAGAGTAGCATACGTTCCGGCTGCCTCTCACTTTTCTTGGTCGTGTCGTTCAGCTAATATGAAGAGATATAGAACTACTCCTGTAAACTCGTGCAAAACTTGATCGAGCTACATTCCCGGTGGATAACGTACGATCAGTTATGCCAATACAAGAGTGACGCTTTTCAAAAGTTTCAAACCGGTTGGAGTGATAAATTTTATTATTTACAGACGTTTCCTCGAAAGAGAAAGAGAGAGAGAGAGAGAGAGAAAGAGAGAGAGAGAGAGAAAGAGAGAGAAGACTAAATAAATAAATATTAACGAAAAGTCTTATTATTTTTATTCAATTCACAGAAATAATTACTCTTTACGATTAGACGGTAAGTTTAGGCTAAATTTAACTTAAGAAAATATTAGTTTTAAAGCAATCTATTTAAATTTTGAAAGAGAGAGAAAGAGAGAGAGAGAGAGAGAGAGAGAGAGAGAAAGAGATAGAGAAAAAGCCGGTATACGACCGTCGTAAAATAGAGTGCGTGAGAGAAAGAGTGAGAGAGAGAGAGAGAGAGAGAGAAAGATAAAAAAAATTATAAAGTTGGTTCGTTGAAAGTTGAAATGTTGAAGTTGTACTTTAGGTTCGAAAGTTAGCAGCAGAAAAAAAATTGTATTTCGCAAATATCACCGACTTTTTACCTTCTATCATTCGAATGACGTACTTTTAAACAAATTTTCACATCGACGATCGCACGAGTCCATCCAGTAGAAAAAATTTTGTTTCTCACTTCGTATCATAGAACGTCACATATGATCTGAAATAATGTGTGAATGCATTTCGAAGAAAAAGAAGTATAAGAATAATATTTTTTTAAAACTTAGTTATCTCCGTCATACTTGACTGATTTAAATTTAAGAAAAAAAAAAGAAAAAAAGAAAAAGAAAAAACCCCAGTTCTTTTCTCCGTTTTTCTTTTTACACCACCTATCTCGAAACTATTTAATCGAGTGCATCGTTCAATTAATTCCAAAAGCATTGATAATCTCCATCGAGTTAGACGGCCCCAGTCGAGACTTTCACCCTTTCTTCAACGGTTCAATGTACATTATATACATTCATACATACTATGTTCAGACTATTAACGTAGTATTTGAAAAGGAAGTTTAGCTAGTTGAATGTTGCTGGTCGTGTGTCCTTGCGAAATAGAATCGCGCAAGAATATCTTTCTCTTCCTTCTGCGTGCATTCATCGAGCTACTTTTCAACGATACCGCTCTTTGCTTTTTCCAGCTGTCTTGTAACTTCTTTCTCTTTCTCTTTCTCTTTCTCTCTCTTTCTCTCTCTCTTTTTTTTTCTCTCCCTCATTCTCTTTCTCTCTCTCTCTCTCTCTCTCTCTCTCTTTCTCTCCCTCGTTCTTTCTCTGTCTTTCTTTCTTTTTCGTCTCTCCTACGTCTCTTTGCGTTCAAACATACCTCTCGGGCTCGTTGCCTTTCTCTTTTGAACGTTTCCTTTATATTCTGTTCTCGACATGGCCTTTCTCTTTCAAGCGATTCCTTCATTTTCGTTCTCTGAATGAGAAGCCACAGTGTAGCCCTGGAAAAAGAAATAGGAAATTACCATTCGTCTTGCTGGGTGGTTAGGGCTAATTTATCGGTAGAAGACAATAGATTTTTATTCGAAAACCAATAATGTTGAGATCATTGCAGGTGAAAGTTATCCCGCCCGTAAAATACAATGCATTCCATCTTTCTTCTTTTTCTTCTTCATTTTTTTTCTCCTTCTTCTTCTTCTTCTTCCATTCTGTAATTACATTAATAATAATCGGTCACAGGTACATAATTTCTCTCTCTCTCTCTCTCTCTCTCTCTCTCTCTCTCTGTCTATCTCTCTCTTTCTCTCGCTCTCCTTTCCTCTTTATTTCTACTTCTTTTTTATCTCTTTTAAATTCCATCATAAAAGTATCCTTTCCCTTTTTCAATTGTACTTTAGTAATTCCCTGAATTATAGGATCGATCGGAATTTTTTCTCTTTCTCTTTGAGATTGATTAAACGCTTCGTTCATTAATTCCATTAATTACTTAGCAAGAACTGGACGAATGGAATTCACGATGATACGATATCTACATACATATATTCTCGATAAAATCCTAATGGTAATCTTGATTGAAATTCGAATTTTCATAAAACACGGAAATGAATAATTTCAACTTCGTAAAAGTTAGGCGAAAGTAAACTGAAATTCTATCATCGATTCTTGTTCGAATAATAATTCATTTAAATTTCATATAGTTAAATCGGTGTTGAAGCGAAACAACGATAATGTCCGATGTGTGTAATAATATGCGGAAAGAATAGTAATCTTTGAAAGTTAACTTATTAAAACATTTCGTTCATGTTTTAAAACACTTATTAATCTATTACTTTTTAACGTATTACACGATCATCGATTGAAACATTAATAAATTAAATATATATTCTTTATTTAGATATATTTCAATTTGAAAGATAATTAATTAGATCTGAATTTTTTAATGTTTCATTAATATTTTAAAATGGTAATTACTCTAATCGATTAAGCGATCGTTTATTTAAAAATTAATTAATTAAACATTCCACGTTTCATAGAAAAATAAATACACGAAGGAATTTGTTTGCAAGACATTTTTTTTTAAGCGATTACTTGACAAATATTGCCTTTGAGGAAGGAATTGTGACTTTTGCGAATTTCGAAAATATCGCGTACGTCGTGTCGTATACTTAGTACGAGACACCGGGAGAAGAAGAGGAAGGAGGGGTGGGATAGAGAGAGAAAAAAAAGCAGAGAAAGAGAAATGTACATATATATATATATATATATATACAAAGAAGATGAGCGGTCTACGAACGTAAAAGTATGCGTCATATTATGCGAGGAAGGCGCGTCGAGGTCATCGTGGCGGATGAGCAATGAACTTGACCGGAAGTGGGTCAGGGTAGATCTTCCTCCATAGCGAAAAGTATCTTCCTTCTCTTATGTTAAACAAGCTCTTGCGTTCTTGGTACGAATAAGAAACGAATTATCCACAATGATTATAGAAGCATATATATAAATTGTTATAACAAAGAAATGGTACTTTGTAATTTAAGAAAACAAACAAAAATAAATAAATAAATAAACAAAAGGAATTAGCAAAAAAATAGTAATACAACTCGCATAAAAAAGACAGTATATAAATATATCTACGTACAATTCATCGTGTCCTCTTTCTACGAAATAAATAATCGAATTATTAAAAATAATTTTATGTGAAATTTCACTTATTACGATAATGATCGTCCAAAGCTTGAAACGTAACCGAGTGAGACTGTAACATATATATATATAAGTTCCTTCCTTCTCTCCTTATATATATATTATATATATAATATATAACAAGTACATATATGGAAGGCATCTAAACTCGTAACATAAATTATATAATAGACTTAAATAATAAGAGGTAAATACCATTACAAAGTAGTATATGCGTGTGTGTGTGTGTGTGTGTGTGTATGTATGTGTGTGAGTGTGTGTGCCTATGCACCATTATTATTATTGTGAAATACTATTTGTGAAAATAAATATAAACTCAACGTAACTTGTTCATTAAGTTCGCACGAACTCGGATGTGTTATTGGTAAATATATTGTGTACGTGGGAAAATGGCCAGGCCAAGGAAGATAAAATGTAACCGATATAAAGGTCAATCGGAACAACACGTTTGACTCGCCCACTTTGGCTATACGAGATCCAAACACAAAATGTAATAAGCACGATCACTTATATCAATTGTTTTCGAAAGTATTAAAACAATCTCTTTTGATCGTACTATTGATCACACTTGGTCAAGATCTTTCCCATGAATAGTTGGGTGTTGTCAAGGATATTATCGACCTACATACATATATGTACATAAACACTTATTGTGCGATGACAGTCAATAATTTAAATATTGCATATGAACATGAATCCTTTCTATACAGATTTAATGTAAATATGTTTAGTCGAAAATAATAATGAAAATGTTGTAAGAAAAATCGAGCAAGAATTTTTTATCAAGATGATTATAGAAGAATAGAATGAGATGAATAGAAATTACATGTAAAGAAAAAAAAAAATAAATAAATAAAAAGAAAAAAGAGAGAAAAAAATTTATGTCACGAAAGTTAACAAGCAATAATGTCACCGATTGAGTTGACTTTTTCTCCGGTTCTATCAATGAATGCAGACGATCAGCTTTGAGAGTAATTAAACAATTATCGTATTATAGTTTTTTAGTTTTTTCGTTTTTTGTCCCGATACATTACTGACAAGCTTTCTTTTCTTTTCTTTTCTTTTCTTTTCTTTTCTTTTCTTTTCTTTTCTTTTCTTTTCTTTTCTTTCCCTTTTATTTTTATCTTATATTTTATCCTTCTTTCTGTCACACTCTACCAATGCCCGTTGTTTGTTATTAAATAAATAAATAAATCCAATTAATTTGTAAAATTCTCGAATATCTTAGAAAAAAAAAAAAAGTAAATCATTTTCTACGCGATTATGCAAATGGAATAAACTAAACAAAAATTACGTGAATCGTACCGAGTATTTTTTCTTTTTCCTTCTTTTTTCTTTTTTTTTCCCCCTACTCGAGCAAAGTAGATTAAGAACGTAATGATCAGACCGGTTAGAGGCTCGTGAGATCACTAGGAGAAAGTGGTGTCTCTCTATCTTGTGTCCCTTATCAACAGGATTTATGAAACTTTAAAAATATACGCCATGAAATAATAATAATAATAATAATAATAATAATAATAATAATAATAATAATAATAATAATAATATTAATAATAATAATCATAATAAAAACAATAACGACAAATTGGCCAATGATGTTGAGAGCGTGAACGATTAGCACATGAGAATATACCTGAAATATTAAAAAAAAAAAGAAAGAAAGAAAGAAAGAAAGAAAGAAAAGAAAAAAAAACAAACTTTCATCGGGGCGTTGTAAAAGCTGGCAAAAGAATGCGACTGATCTTACTAACTCGTTCTTTTGAAGAAAGGAGCCTCGTTCTATAGAAGTTTCTATACTTATTCTACTTTAGTATCTAACGTAGTTCACAGAAACGACGGGAGTCCAGTACTTCGTTACTTTGATATCAACTCGATCCGGATGCATCGAATAGAGGCGAGAAAACTGGACTTACCGGCTTGAACTGCCATACCAACCCAATTGGAACTTTCCACAGCAAAGTATGCGCGAAAATTTCCGTTGTAACCTTTTCGAATCGTACATACTCGCGATATATATATACATATCTCTCTCTCTATATATATATATGTATGTATGTATATATTTAGATACTATTTCTTCGTTCTATTTCAAGAGATTTACTTTTATACGATGCGAAAATCTTCTATCGATCTTCGTTGGTAATATTTTATGAAAGGAAGGAAGTCTTAGTGAAAATATCACAGAAAAAGAAAAGAAAAGAAAAGAAAAGAAAAGAAAAGAAACGAATGATCTCTAAGAATATCGTAAAAATTTATATGTTTTTGAGAAAGTACGAAGACGAGAGACTAATCTCGACCTCGACTTTCACCTTCTCGCAAGGTCTAGGCCGCTTACAAGTCTGATCCTCCTCAAGGCACGGACACACAAGTTTTATAATGTACATATATATATATATATATATATATATATATATATGTGTGTGTGTGTGTGTATGTGTACATACGCCCAATATACAAACCGGAATTCCATGCTCCAACTTTTCTCATCTGAATAGAAATTTAACGCTTGAATAATAATTGTATATCGAGGTTAAAGGTTGAACGAATAAATAGGATAATTTAGAAATCATCAACTGGGCGTTCATATTTTTACGAACGTTCACGTAAAGCTATGTTAATGCGTAAGAGCCTGTCTTTAAATTATGAAATTAATACCCAGGGATTTGGTTTAGGTATATATGTATATATATATATATACACACACACACACACACGCACACACACATAGTGATATCTAATTTATATGATAATGTTGTCATATTTTTACTTTAGATGAAGAGCAGTTACTATGCAAATATTTTAATCGATTTCTTATCTCATGGGAATTGATCAAGGAACACATTTGTTATGGATATTAAAAGCTTCGTTTATTTCCAATCTTATTTTCTCTTCCTCTCTCTCTCTCTCTCTCTCTCTCTCTCTCTCTCTCTCTCTCCATATCTTTCACTTATCATATAATAATAACGATCTTATCACGCATTTTCATAAGTACATTGTAATAACGAGAAGACGAAGGAGAGATATCGATCGAGCGAGTTAGTAAATAGATCGAAGAACATTATTTAAAGATCTTAAAAAGTTTCAAAGAAAGCACCGTGTCTTCTTTCGTTACTTTGTCGCTTGATCGGAAGACTCTCTCTCTCTCTCGATGTCTGGAAAACATATTATTTCACATTTTTTTTTTTTTTTAATTAATAATTTATTTATTTACTTTTTTTTAATTGCTTGTTCGCGATAGGATCGACGACAAGGCAACTGATAAAATGCTGTCGATCGGATCACGTTCGCGAACATTATTTTTTAATTTATTAAATTTTTAATTTGCAACTAAATCATTGAAATTTCACACGAGCTTTTATTCTTTTTTTTTTTTCTTTTTTCCCTTTTTTCATTTGAATTATTAAATTTAATAAGAATAGACACAGACGTGCGCGGAACGATTTAACTGACTTGTAGAGCGAGCTAAAACCCGTTGCCGATTAAAAATCGAAAATAGATTTCGCGACCTCCTCGTGATCTCATAAGACACTTTACTCTTTCTTCTCTCTTTCTCACTCCTTTTTTAACACTTAAAAAGATGTGAATGAAGAAATTCGTTATATCACACAGGAAAAAACCTCGAAACATGCAAACTCGAAAGTACACGATTTTCTTCTCTTTTCTTTTTTGTTTTTGTTTTTGTTTTTTCTTTCTTTCTTTTTTTTTCCTCTCAAATACAACAAACGTGAGTACGATCGCGTGTATATATACGTATGTTTGTGTTTGTGTGCTTTTCTCAAAAAGAAATAAAAAAGAGAAAAAGAATGTTATACATTATAGGTACATAATATGGATGTATGTATAGAAGTTAAAATACGAGGAATAGAGAGAATTTATTATATCGTTTGGAAGAGTAGAAAAAGGCTTTACTAATAAATATCGTGAAAAAGATCGATAAAATCGATAAATCTATACACTTCCGCCGGATGCTTGCTCGCTACTATCTCTTTTAATACTGACTTCAATGCGGCAGGTACTTCTTCGCGTTCTCCCTTGCGGATTTCTGAACGAAATGTTCAGATAATATCGGCAAGATTAATTGACGAAATAAGTAGAGGAACACAATGAATTCGATTAAAAGTATCGTAAATGTAATTGATTATTCATCGTTTAACGAAAGCATAATATTTCCTAATGAGATTATTGAAATAATTAAATCTGTCGAAAATGGAACATTCTCATTGAAACGTGTCCAAATGTAATATTCAACGATAACGAAAATTACCAAGAGAAACCAATGTCTTTGATATGGAACTATAAATTATTTTTTTTTTCTTTTCGTCTCTTTCTCTTTATATTACCACCGAATAAGCTAAGTAGGAAAGTGTGCTAAGCGTTGATTAATATTTAATTAACATTTCTAGAAACTCCATATGATATATTCCGTACACCTACGAGATAATGATCACGTTAAAATGCGTATCAAATTTATAACACATTTCAACGTTCTTCGATCGACGGAAGATACAACACGTCGCTTTATTGTTTTTCTTCTTTACTTTTTTTTTTTTATAATTAATTAATCAATTAATTAATTAATTAATTAAACGTATTTGTGTCCGTAGTAATGTATAAATATAAATATGTTAATATAAAATACAAATGTAAAATACAAATACAAATATGGATAGAAATAGGAATTATTTGATGCATTACAAAAACAGACTTCTCTAACGTTCCGCTTGACGTCTTTGAAATACACATGATTAGAAGAATGAAACGATTGGAAGAGAAAAATTTTGGTAAATAGATAACGCCTTCATAATGTTATTGGCATAATATAGGAAATCGAGAAATGTGTTAAAAATATTTTGTCTCTCTCTTTCTTTTTTTTTTTTTTTTCGTCTTTCTTCTCTCCCTTCCTCACGACTCACACGTACAATTCGTTACAATACAGCGAGAAAAATGGAGCAATGCGTTATTCACTTTCTCGTGTTAAATGTGAAAAAAAATTCTTCTCGAAATTTTTTTATTTAGTGGAAGCTCAATGCTAAAAGAAAAGAAAAGAAAAAAAAGAAAATATGTAAAAGAATTAAACGAGCCAGTAGATTTTTTTTTTACTTCTGCATTATCTTCTTGACATATTTATTTTCTGTATCGGATAATACTATAATTCGACTCGAAAAACGCGAAATAACGCATTGTAAAACATCAATGTGTATGTTAGTATTTATGCGTGAGAATAAAAACGTGATATTCGTTAATACATATGTATCAGTATGTATATATATATATAGGTATTTTTAAAGATATTTGATCTGATTAATAATCCGTAATATAATCGTGATAATGAAATTTTTATAACGAGTATCGTATGCAGAATATTTACCATATTTCATAAGATTTCATTTTTCTCTTTTCGTTTTTTTCTTTTTCCTTCTCATAGCCTTACTCTTTCACGTCTTTCCTCCTCTCCATTCTATTTAACATATTTCTATATATCTTTTTTATAATTTAATTTATTATCTTTTTCTTCTTCTTTTTCTTTACCTTTTTTTCCGTTTTTTTTTCTTCTTTCATTATTATTATTTATTAGCTATATAACTTTTTTTTTCTCGTTTTCTCTCTCAATCTCACGCATTCTAATTGTTTTCATTACATGTTAACAATTTGAATGGCTAAGCTATAACAACACCAATGGACGAAACGATCGATAGCTTGTTCACCTGAGAAAAGTGAACGTTCGCATTCATTTATGTCATTTCTTATTTATAACTAATGTTTGGTTTTAGTCGAAATTTTATTAAATTCCGTATATAACATATATATATATATATATATATATATATATATATAATCGCATTATTTTTATCGATATTCTTACGAAATGCGATATATTTTCCATAGGAGATACTTTCAAAGAGATCCCGTTGAAAAACTTTCTCGAATAATTCTCGAGAAAATTTGATTCGTAAAAGGATCTTCGCCGATGAGGATAAACGATTTACATATTTGCATAATTTCCTTTATCCGTTAGTCTAATGTTTAAAGTTTAAGAGAAGAAGGTCGTAAATTTATAAATCTTCTTATTACGAATAATCCTATCACAAAAATACAGAGAGATAATATCAAAATGTATTGACCATTCATTAGTTTTCTAAATGTTGTTTGTTTTCTATTTTATTTTTCTTTTTTAAACGTTTTTCCTTTTCCTTTAATTTTCTTTTCCCCCTTTTACAGATCATGTTTGTTTTCTTTTTTTTTTTTTTTAACAGATTATTCCCACCAACGAGGCATCATCGTTCAATCATTTTTCTCAATAAGAAATATATTATGTGTTGTTGGTCGCTCGTCCAAATTCTTTTATTTATATATTTGTTTTCTTTCTTTCTTTCTTTCTTTCTTTTTTTTTTTTTTTTTTTTTTTTTTTTAATATCGATCGAATCCCGATAATTCCGACAAGTGAAAAGAAAATCTAAAAAGGGTTTCTATGAAATGTGATGGATCAGAAATACTCAATCCGTAAAAAATCATTCATAACTCGCATAGATATTTAATAAAAAATTAACATATTAGACAAATTAGATACGGGATTTCCATTAAGAAATCACATTTGTAAATGCTAATTATTTTTTGTGAAAGATTTGTACTCGTTAAGATATCATCGCGTCGATTAATGTGTTCCATTTGTGCCGACGGTTGGAATCTCCTTTACCGCCATAACGATTTGTTTTGCGAATAAAACATAATAGGAATTATCTTTCGTCTCGACGTTCTGTTTCGTGAATGAAGAAAAAAGAAAGATAAAAAGAGAAAAAAAAGAAGAAAGAAATAATAATCATAATAAAAATGAACGACGAGAATGATTTAACATCATCACGAAGGTCTTGGGTTCATCGAGTATAAATTATTAATACACCAGCAAGCATTGTAGTCGATAATAGCGAGATATCAAGCAGAGAGATCATCTTTGGACATGGCAATTTTTTGTCAAAATTCATCTCTTACATATCCGACCAATGAAAGAACGTATTCCTATTTATAATACTAAAGGATAGATATTTTTTTTTGTGAGCAAGATCGTTTTACACGTCAGCTGTATCTCACGAAGATAGTATATATATATATATATATATATATATATAGATATATATTTATATATCTATCTATCTATCTATCTATCTACCTACCTATCTATCTCTCTCTCTCTTTTTTTATCATTCCCATTCCCCCCACCTCCTTCCCAACCCCCATTTTTGCCCCAGTTATCGATCGAGTAAGTTCATTGGGACGACCTTCAAAAAAGAGATAGACGCACATTGGTCGGTCTTTACGACGGAAAAACGATAAGATGCTTCTTCCTTTTCAATCTTCATCCAGTTGATCATCAGTCGTCTATCAATCGACGTCGACGACTTGATCCGGATTATCGGTAGATTCTTTTCGATGTTTCAATCTCTTACGTAAGAGTACCGACTTTAATATACTGGATGACCTTGGACCCGCGACTTCCGGCCGCGGGCCATTCTGTTACGCCGCTTTGTGTCTTTTCCGTTGCTCTCTTTTCGCAGTATTTCCACTGCTAACACTCGAGCCTCCTCCTCTTTCGCAATCAGCCGTAGGTAATGGCTTCAGTTCCCTGTACGAAAAAAATGTTAAAAAAGAAAGAAGGAAGAAAAGAAATAAAAGAATCGAAATTTTACGAGTAGAGACAAGCATCTTTTTGAGACGGTATTTGATGTTAACGAGCCTATTCGCTTACCTATAGTTAAGTATCTCTTCGTCGTCAGGTACTCGAGATATCAAATCTAGTACCTCGTTGTTAGGCACCGAATGTGGCCTCAAGATTTTCCTCGAGAATTTGTTCACACCCCAAACTAATATAAGATATCTTACTGGTATATAATAAAGTACAGCTGCACCGATTATAGTTAATGTCATAGCCAAATAACTGAGGTAAGGAATTGTGAAATTAAAGAGATTTTTTATTCTCTCGCAAAGACTGGCGATGTAACCAATAGAATTCTGTACGGTTTGTGTAACCTCCTGAATTGCCTGTAATCGTTCCTTCAGACTTTTCTTCTCTTCCTGCAAATGATATTTATCTTATCGTGTATCATATAATCTAAATCGCATGGATATCGATTAGATCAAAAGGACAACTGTCTGTAATCCTCACTTTGTCTTTATCATCCTCGTCATCGTCATCATCACCTGGTGTTACCGGTCCATCATCGGACATCATTTCCGACGTATCTTGAAAATGCGGGCTCGTTTGATGCGTTAAAGACGCACCAGTAACCGCGGCGACCTGTCCGCAAATCCACTGATTGATTCCACTCCCATCCTCCATGTTAAGCTGGCCGATAGCAAAGAAACACGACATGCGGCATTGCAATCAAGTGATAGGATATTTCTATCAAGCGTGTCATAGTGAAAAATAAAAAGAAAACAAGAAAGAGAGAAAGAAAGAGAGAAAGAAAGAGAGAGAGAGAGAGAGAGAGAGAGAAAGAAAGAGAAAAAGAAAGAGAGAGTAAGAGAGAGAGAAAGAGAGAGAGAGAAAGACAGATCAAGATACTATGTATGTTAACGTGTAGAAAGGTAACGACGTAAACTACTACTATTTCTACTAGTAGTAAGATTACCGGTGGATCGACAGGTGTCAGAGTGGATGACAGTGGGCTGCTAAGGTATTCCGCTCGGATAGATTCCAGCTTATTTTTCATCCATGCTTAGTAATCTTCATTAGCCATTATTGTACAAAAATAGAGAGGTATAACGAAGTGGGCGAATACTAATGTATGTACATACAGATTATTCCAGCTCGATAGATACGTAATGTTTGAAAATGGATCTTTTTTTTTTTGCTCTATTCACGATGCAATCAATCAAATGCAGGAGGATTCCGATCTACTTTTGGCGAACCTCTTGAAAACTAATCATAGTGCTCTAATTTTATAGTGATAAAACTCTATATTATATCATTTTCTACTATAAAATTGTTGAAAAAATTTTTGGTTGGTTTATGGGATATATTCGATAAGATACGTATAGTTGCGATATCGGCACAGCGAGTGTTTTAAGCGATAGAGCGAGTTTAAGGGTTTGTTGTATTTACAGAAAGCGTTATCGTTGTAAGAAGCATTGCCTTACCAGGTAATATTTAAGAAGAATCAGTAACGCCAATGCTGGTATCATGTAAGGTTCGAAGTAATAACATCCAAGAACGAAGAGGGTCAGCGCAATAATACTTCTTGGTTTACTTTCCCACTCCCAGCAACTCCTGACCGTAGAAAGAAAGAAAAAAGAAATCGAATGTAAAATATACAAAGGATGCTCTGTAAAGTTAATTATAATTTTTAAAGATATTATTATTTGTTTCTATATGATATTTACAATTTCAAGAAAAGCCACTCACTGTATATACTTTCCCATTTCGATGAAGAATAGTATGATCGCTTTGAGCCTAAGTACGTTTCTCAAAAAGACCTGTCTCTTAAACTTGATCTCAGGTTCCATATACTTCTTTTCTTTAGGATTTAAAGTTCTAATGCAAGCTCTGAATACGTTCCAAATTACAGTCATTTCCAGAAGAATCTGTGGTGAATTTCCCTTAGCACGACCTCTCAGTTTTTTATCCTTCAGAGCGTACCACCTTTTCTCTCCATTACGAATCCTTAATAAAGGAATAGCAACTTTACCAAGAAACTCAACTTTGTGATCCCTGTCCTCGTCGTAAACAGTTACCTCTAGGACCGAATTTATGTCCTTTACGTTGCTTCACATAAAAAAAACAAAGAAAGTTATGATTCGAATTGTATTAATATTTACATACATCAGATCAGGAAGAATTAAACAACTTACAAAGTGAAAATCTTTTGCCAATTAGGAGCCAATGTTTTATATTCAGTTTGCGTTTGCAATCTAGCATTCACCAATTCCAGGACGCAAAAAGGATCACTCTTTCCACCGAGATCAGCTGCTGCGAGACCTTGAGCTCGATATATCTGAAAAGCAATGAACACCGAGCGCCAGCTTGAAAGATCAATATCGATGGTACTTGATCAAGACAGATGAGAAAGCTTTAAAGAATGAATGGATATATAAACCAGATCTACTTTTCCCATTTAGAACGAAGAACAAGTTCTATAAAAGCTTACAAAGAAAAATCTATTTATTAGTTATAAGGACTCGTTTCAGGAACATAGTCACTCTTAATATTGTATATTTAATGAACGGTTGACGTAAACGTCCTTGTTTTTTAATTCGAACGTTGAATTCAACTATGAAAGTCGAATACGATTACGTATCTTGACATACTAATTATCCTAACAAAGATAACTATTATCTGTTATTACCTTCACTGTCAGATGACCAACGTCGCGAGGTCTCTGCAACGTATTTAATAAAGAATATCTTTGTATTAAATTAGTTCTCTCTCTAGGCGTTTCTTCATGTGCAGCTAAATCGCTTATAGTCTCGCTCGCTGTAGTTCCACTGATTGTTAACAGAAGAAATATACTTCCGGAACCATCCTCGAGATCTCGCCATAATCGATGAGTAGTTTCTCGTTCCAACGTTGCTAAATCTATTACGGTTTTACCCATAAGATCGTCCTGATGACTTCTATCACGATCCCAAACTGTTACTTCCAATTCCTGTCCTAGATAAGGGTCCTCGTAAAGATGAAGATCAAATTGTTCGAGCCACACAGGATTTAATGTCTTGTTCACCACTTTTGATTTGTATTTCTCCGTACCGAGGCTACAAATTGATCAAACTATTTAATGTCTTTTCGTTATTTCTCATAAAATGTTATAAATATCTTCTAGCTTTTTTTTTCTTTTTTAGGAAAGAATTTTCAAAATCGTAATTGAGATTACTTCTTTTATATATTTATCATTAAATATCGTTTATATTTAGTAATAAGAAAAATATTGATAAAATACTGATTAAAACGTTCAATATATATTTGGCAACTCTTCATCTATATATACGTATCTATTTATATATTTACCGAAATTTAACGTAGGGATCGGACAAACCATCTATATCCATCGGCAACAAACTTTTTGCTTCGACCAGAACAATTGTTACCACCGAACTCCATATCTGCGATTTTAGTTTTCTATTTACGTCCGCCAATCGATTGGTTTTCTGAAAGTACTGAAATTCGAGAATCTCAAATTATTTATGTTTTAAAATCATGTAAACATATATGTGTATGTATTCAAACAATGACAGTTACTGTGGGGGGCATAGCAGTGTAAAAAATTCTTTAGAAAAAAAAAAACAAAAAAGAGGAATGTCGATACCCTTTGTATGTCTTCCATTTTTTCTTTAAAATTATCCATCAATCTATCAAACAATGGATTATTCGGTTTGATTTCTTTCAACCTCAAAAACCCTTCCGAATCTGTAAGCCGATTCCCAATAGTAGATACATCCTCGGCACTGTGCGATCGGAAAGGTTTCTCGAGATTTTTCAAATGTGAAATTGCTATTGGTTCATCGACAGAAGATCGTTCTAATTTCGGCGAACCCATTCGAATTTTTCTTTTTGATTTTTCCTTCAAAACACTTTCGATTTTTGGCTCCTCGTTGTCTTCTTCGGCCGCAGTGAATTTAAATTCGTAAGCCATGCCCTTGAGATTAGTCTCTTGAGTCTTTTTAACATGAGATTTATCGTTCGTGTCGGATTTGCATCGATCGATGATCCAATTCTCAATGGGTATCAACCACGGATGCTTTTCGATGTTATCCTCCCATATTTTTTCGACTCGATCCTCAAGCTTTTTCTCAACGGAGACTAATTTTTTATCTATTGAACTCTTCAATGCTCCTATTGTTCTCTTTTCCTTTTGTCTCTCGACTTTTTTCTCCTTTTCCACGCTCACTTTCCTAACCGAGGACGATGCTACCACCAATGGATCTATTACGATCGAAGTTTCCTCATGCTTAACCTTAGAATCATCCTTTGAGGTTCCCATCAAAGGAACTTTTTCACCAGAATGTTTTTTCAAATCAAAGTAAAAATTACTTGAAGAATCATTGTCCAATGGCAAACTATTTATTGTCGTTTCCGAATCAATATTTTTCGAATTTTCAACAGGCACTTTTTCGTTCAACGCTGACACTTCCTTTGACGGACATTTATCGGTGTCCTTTTTCTTGGAATCATCCATGTTTTATCAATTTCTTTTTGTTTTTTTCTTTTTCTTTTTTTTATTTCTTTAACGAACGAAAGTAATTTTTTGATCGAATAAATTTAAATCCCTTCGAAAACGTAAAGAAATTTTTGAATTTGCCTTTTCCGTTTCTATCCAATTTAATTGTAAAAAAGAAGTTATCTGCTTAGAAGAGATATCAAAATAATCCTTAGTTACGTATATATCTCTATCTGATTCTTCGACTTATTTACTTAAGCAATCGATCGAACTCATATTTCTACTCAGTATTAAACAAGATTTCACTCTTTAATTTATTATCTTCATGATCAACGAAATTACTATTTCCTAGAATACAATCTCCATCTTATTTCCAAGAAAATAATAACTAGCCCAAAATAAAATCAGAGGTCACGAATTTTTTGCGTTCTTGAAATTTAAATATTTCTTTTCCTTAGAAGAAACAATTCGACTTGGTTTTAATTAATGATTCAAATGAATGCACATATATATATATATATAAGTGGAAACTTTTCATTTCATATGACAGATATAATAGCACATTAAAATGATGATTTATACACGCATGTCAATTCACTGGTCATTCCATACCTGTTTATCTTTCAAACTTTTTTATAACTCGTATACAATACTTGTAAGAAAATATATTCTAGAGTCGACAATAACACAATGACAGAAGGGCAATCGAGATTACATAAAAAACACACTATTATTAAAATATATGACTCACAAAGCAGATCAAAAGATAAGACACAACAACTCGTTGAAGATCATTTAATAAATTCGTATCGTTCGTTTCTTTTATTGTTTTCTTTTTTTTCTTCTTCTTCTTTTTCTCGTTGACAACAAAAGTAAGCTCGTAAATTTAAAATCCTTTTGAAATTGTTATGTCACACTTGTTATACCACATTTTATTATCCGTCATCGTTAAAATATGAACACATGTTGATAGAACATATCCTAGCATAGTCGTTTCGTTGCGAAAGATTGACATTTCCCACGTAACACCCGCATCAGCAACTCTTCTTTGTGAAAATAAGTAACGTGAACGAGGAAACTTTATCGCGTAACGTTTGCGTTTCTACTGACACGTTCAACGCGTTTAACTTAATCGTACCAAGCGGCCACGAGTCCGTCTGCCTCTTTTCCCTCTCCACACGACGCACCAGGAAACTTACGTAGGATGGTAAACAAGTTTGATAACTGAGCCTACCATCGTCCGTGTTGAGTAACCTCCTTGACTGTGCTCATGAAATAGCGCTCAATTTAAATGGCTAGTATCTATTGGTTCAGTATTTTTCAAAATTTGATTAATATTATAAATAAATGATCAATATTTATAATAAAAAGTCAATACGTAATATAAGTTACGCAACTCTGATGCAAATATGATACTTTATTATTTAAACTGATTAAAATATTGACCATCGTATAAATTGATCATTTATTTTACAAAATATTTATCATTAGTTAATAAAAAATACTGACCAAATAAATATGTACTTATACTTAATCCTTGTTACTCTCAATCGAATTGCTTTGTTTTTTTCTTTTTCTTTTTTCTTTTTTTTTTTTTTTTTTTTTTCGTAAGTATAACTTTCACCATCGTGTAAAATAAGTTTTATACGCGATAAGTAAACAAGTCTTATGTATATACGATAAATTACTTTACTTTTATTGTACATAATACTTCTTTTTATTGTATTGTAAGAATTTTTTTTTACCTTACAATAAGACCTTATTTACGATAATAAATAAGTCTTATGTACAACAACGAATATTCAAGAAATTTATCAAAAATGAAGGAAATGTTTGTTAAAGTCCGCTTGTTATTAATATTCGAAAGGAATACATTGAAACCTCTACGATGCAATCATCAGTTATAGATAATAAATTTCTTGAGCACATAAATGGATAACAGGACAGAACGACCGTGACGTATACGGAGACAGGCACCATACCCAACGATCTATAAGCTTGACAAATTGTTCCAACAACGTTATGATACAAACATAATACGTAACGTGAAATAATTTTTTGAAGTAGAACAATATCACAAAGAATTTTAATGTTCGATGCTGATAATAAAACAAGAAAAATGGTTTAAATTGATGACATGCAAATTTCAATATTCAAATCAATTTTATAAAAATCTTATGGAAAAAAAAATAATATAAACTTTCTCTAAACTCACTATTTTTAATGAAATTTAAAAATTCCCGTATTATATACCATGATTTTTCTTTACAGATTTTTGCTCTCGTAAATCAACTTTTAGCAAATTTAATTTGATCCTTTAACAAAACAAACTCAACCGTTCAATATTATTGGTGGGTTATCTTCTGATTATTGATAATATAATGTAGATAAGACCTAGTGATAAGACACTACTATAGATAAGTTATTTTTGTTACACGACAAGCGGCTTTATTATGCATAAGTCATTATTTCTTCATACATCAATCTTAATATTTTTCAAATATAAAATGATAACAATATTGTTCGATTTTGACAATGTATTGCAATATTATAAATACAATCACATTTAGAAAAAACAAATTTAATTTGATTTTGATGCATTGAACTATTGCACGCAATTACGACACGATAAATCTTCGAAAAGTGATAAAAACTGTAACTCATCATAAAATTAAATGGTTGAGAACAATTTTTAGAAAAATTCATTCTAGTATTTTTATATAATTTTTATATAATTATGAATTGTCTTAATTACTACTAAATAAAAACTTTTATGTACTACATGTTTGTATTAAAAAATTTCAAATCTTTTAAAAAAAAATTTACATATCATTATATTTTTTACTATCGGAATTTAAAAAAAGAAAATTTTTAGCAAAATTTAATTTGCAAAAAGTCGAATTTGAGATGCAAAACCTGTACAAATAGAGAATCAATCGTGAGTTTGTTTTTACATTCGATTCATCGAATAGTTATTACAATGAAATTATCAAATTTGAAAAAAACAATACCTGTTCCTTTTCCTGTTGATTTCTTGGCCATAGCGTAGCAGTGAGACAGATTTCACCCAAATGTTGCTTCGGCCTGGCTGGATCTTTTAATTCCAAAGTGACGTCTTGAGCATAGCCAAGATCGAATTGCGTCAAATCCAACTGAGCAGCTCCCATGAAGTCATCCTGGAGACCCCAGTCGTAATCGAAGACCTGTCGAAACGTCGAAGGTCGTTTGCTAGTCGAAAAAAAAAACAGCAAGAGAGGCAGATAAAACGATCGATACTCTGATTTTCTAACTGCTCTGTTGAAAGACATATTTGACATTGACTAGGATGAAGGATAAACGAACTAAGAAATAAACTAACTGACGAATATGTATAATAAGGGGATGAATTAATGATAATATACCTACCTTGATGGTAAGCGGTTGGAAAGGATCTTCTATTGGCAGAGTCACGCTCTCGTCCCAAACTGGATTTAAATCACGGTGAACCGTTCGTGATTTGTGTAATAACCTTCCAGCAGACTTTATCTTCACGTAAGGATCGCTAGCACCTAAGATATCATATATATATTATCTATATGTAATCTTTTTATATAAAATTTTTTCCATTAAGACGAACATAATCCTTCGAAATGATTCCTTTACCACATCTGTCCATGGCCATCAGATTGACACCCCTCCTAATGTGAAGACGAAGCTGAAAGAAAGCGTGCTGTCTCAGTGCTATCTCCCTCCTCCGTATAATCTCGTCCTGAACGAAGGCCCCATCTTGATTCGACATGGAACCGCGTGCTTCCTCGCTCGTATTAACGTCCTTGAAACTCTGACGATTTAAAGATCCCTTCGAAGATGCATCGCTGCATTTTCCAGGACTATCCTCTTGCAGGGTTAAGATTTTTTCTCTTCCTACTCGTGTCAGCGGTGATTCTAAAGATATTTTTTATCAGTAGATAATGTATATGTAATGTTTCAAGACCGTTATAACTAAGAACGAAATATGCTTTTCTTTTCTGTTTCCTTTGGTTTTATCGTTTTAATATTTTAACGTTCTACCGAGAATAAGAATAGAATTATTAAGAACAGCAATCAAGTAAATCTCTGTTTATTATTCCGTCAGAATTATTTCGATATAATCTATGGATGAAAGAATAATCAAAGGAAAGCCTTTTTAATTTCTTTTAACATCACCCGTAATATAAATTTCCATATTTAGTGGAAGAGAAGATAAAAGGGTACTCCCTTTAAGTACTACGTAAAGAGAGTATAGAGGGTGTGCTAAAAAAACGAGCAAAGTCATTGCATATTGCATTAGAAAGTGTCAAGGAGCGTGACAAAACTTTACGGAATTTTTGTTGAAACTTTCATCAAGATCAAAATCATTTTTTGTCATTAAGTTGAACATATTAAATTGTAATTATAAATAAAAGTTATCGTTTATAATTAATACTATTATTTATAATTATATATTATATACATACATATATATATTATTATTATTATTATTATTATTATTATTATTATTATTATTATTATTATTATTATTATTATTATTATTATTATTATATCGAATATTTTAAAGTTAATAAATATTAAGGAACAAGATTATAAAGAAAACAGTATAAAAAATGTTGTCACCGACCGTGACAAATTTTGCAATATGTTACTTTCATTTTTACGAATTTTTGTTGACTAATGATTTTACAGAAGTATTTCGAGTTATTATTTGATCACATTACGCAATTATTTATCATTGTATAATTACAATGAAAAACTAAACTGTGACCTCTAAGATAAAATGCACAATATTCATGTTGGCAGTCAATATATACAAAAAAAAAAAGAAAGAAAAAAAAGAGAGAAAAAAATATTTTTTAAACAATAAAAAAAATAATAAAACCTACCGGGATGTTTGAGACAATGCCTGGCTGGACTTTGTGTGGCCGATGAACTCCTGCTATGTTCAGAGGAATAATCAGCCGTATAATCAGACTCGATGCCAGGTGTCTTAAAGCTTGTTGACTCTTGGGTCGTTGATACTCCGCCACCATCCTTCGATTTTTTTCGTTCTTTACTACGGCTACGAGACCAGCGGCTTTTCAGAGTCGCAAAGAATGTGTGCGTACGCTGTGCCACCGACGTCGCGTGTCGATGATGCCGGTGGTGATGTATCACCCCGGACTCACCACCGACCTCGCCGCGCCGCGACGGCGAGAGTTTCTCGATTTCGTTGTTCCGGAGCTCCGTGGCGCTTTTCGAAAGCTGTCTGCTCCCGTTCAAATTCAGTCTGGATCTTTCCTCTGTCGTGTTATCTGAACATGTGATCCACAACCATATTTTTTTCATATTCTTTCCTCTTTTTTTGTTCTTTTTTTTACTTTCATTCATTTTTAGGCACGACCGAAGACAGTTCATATTCGTATTAAAATCTAAACGTATATATATATATATATGTATGTGTGGGTGTGTGTGTGTGTGTATATATATATATGTATGTAGCAGTGTATCTCTATGTCCAGTCCACCATCTAAATGACTGAATTAGATCGATTAGAAATTTATACAAAAAATAAGATTACTTGCAAGATCCATAAGCAATTCCGGTATGATCCAACATCCTGTTTTAAAATGGCAGTATTTTCATAAATTAAAAAATTCTTCAAGAAAAAAAATCATATATACAATGGAAAGAAATCAAATTCTATAGGGATATGTAAAATAAATGTCGTGCATAATAATGAATTTCTTTGAAATTTTTTATAATAACGATCAGAAAATGGCGGTGGAAAGAACATTTTAATTGGTTTATTTAAAGAAAAATCTCTATCTAACTTTTATGTTTCTTAATAAAATTTTATACGTAATATATTTTGACGCATGCATATTCATTCATATTTGTGTGGACGTATGTATATGTGTGCACGTGTGCGCAAGCAAGCACATATCAATTCTACTATGTAAATGGTTGAACAGATTGACTTGAATTTTCTATTAAAAAATTAAATTACATGCCACGATGATCCACGAATAGTTCCGATTTGATTCTACTTTTGATATCAAAATGGCGGTATTTCAAAAATTTTTTTAATTCATAACAAATTGCATATGCATCAATTGAAAGAATTAAAACTCGGTATGAATATTTGAAATATTATCAACTATTAATTTAAACTACATCGATTGTGCCTATTGCAAAAAACCGAAAAAAAATGGTTTACTATTAGATGATTCATAAAAAGATACGTTTTTCATTTAATTTTCGATTTGAACAAACTAAACAGTTATTGTATTTTTTATGAGAGCATGAAATTATTACTTAAATACAGAGATAACAAGATTTAAGCCGCGCATGGAACAAACATGACGTATCCAAAATTATAAAAATTCCTAATGTTTAAATTAAATGTTTAACTTAGATTATCTCAATTATTTCCTATACGAAAAATGCATTTTAATAAAGCTATCATATCGAAATATATATCTCAATGCAATTTGTTAATAGAGTTAATTTCTTTTTTATTATTTTTATTAATTAATTATAGTGTCACTTTAGAAATGATTCCAGAATGAATGGAATTAATTTTCATGTCATTAATGCCGCCATTTTGAATTTTCAATACAACAAAAGCATAATATAATAAATTAAAAAAAAATATTATGCTACCGAAGGCAACGTAAATTTCATTTTCTCGTGACCGTTCTCTCGTTAATTCAAATGTCATAAATTGAATTATTTTTTCCTTATTTATATAACACGAAATAATAATAACGTGAAATTACGAAGGAATGCCTAAATCAGACTATATCAACTTTAGAATATTATACAAATCACCATCCTCTCGTAGACACTAGCGCGAAAGAAAAAGGTTTCATTAATCGTGCACGCCATCAACTAAAGTCACGAAAAACGTAATACCGGAAATGGATAACTTTTTAAAAGGATTCCCCAATAGAATTCTTTGTCGCTTTAACACGCGCAATGATTCGCGATAAAATGAAGGAAAGTACATTTAGTCAAATTAAAAGGCATTGTTAATGTAATGAATATCAGAGAAATGTTTCGTTTCGTGTTTTCTTTTTTTTTTTTTTCTTTTCTTTCGTTTTGCGTTCGCAAGCACGAAATATATTATACGACAGGCACGAACCAATCGTCGTTCATTGCCACACACGCATCGAATGATTCAACGTGGTTCCGACCTCTTATAGCTAAATAAATAAACGTGTTTGATTCTAACAGCGGAAAGCCAGCAGCAGAAAATCAAGAACAAGGAGTCTAACGACTTGCCTTAAACTATTTTCGAACAGCTCTGTCCTCGTAAAAGAATTTCTGTGAAATAAGAAGTTAACCCTCTATAACCCAATTTCTTTATCCCTTCTAAAAAAAGGTTTTTAGGTGATATGAAACTAATAAACATTTACCTTCAAATATGTACTAACAATGGATTTATAAATTTTGAATATTTTATATAAAAAAAAAAAAAAAGAAAAAAATATTATCATTTTAAACTCACAATGGGATTTGTATATATGCAACAGTATTTGTATATATGCAATATGGAACGCATATATGCCAGTATTATCTACTACGTTGTTTGTAATTTCTTTATCAAGTAATTTCCTAAAATAGAAAATGGAGGAATAAAGTGCTACAAGAGCATAATGAAAAATACTTTTCCAAGAAACAATAAAGAAAAGGATATCTTTTATAGAATGTAATTTTATAGGAAATTACTTTCAATTTAATGCTCTTTTCATTTGATAAGAATTTATTAATATTTAATAACATTATCAATAATATTTATACGACATCGGGAGAATAATATTGATCGTTCTTAATCCATTAATATTTTTCATTTATTTTATATTAAATTTTTTGTTCAACTTCAAGCTTTAGTTTCTATATTTCAGACTAATAGTATTATATTAGAAAGAATGAGGAGAAGAAACGCATACATTATTTACATATCTTTTATAAACATAATGAGGCAACATTATACGAAAATAGCACAAATATTATTATATAAATCCAATAAATAAGGAAATTATTATTTATTGAAATAATAATAAATTAATGAAAAAAGAATAAGAATCAATATTATTCGTACGATTTAATCGATATTTTTAATTTTAAAAACAATTTGAATAATACACGCTCTATTTAAAAAAAAAAAAATATATATATATATATAAACTACAAATTTTCATAAACAAACTACATGATTATGAAGGAATTATATAAAAAAATAGAAAAAGCTCCTCTTAGCATCAAAATATAATACGATTGGAAATATATATATCTACGGATATATAAATGTCTTACTTCAAAGTCATTTTGTATTTATAGACTTTTCAATCTTTATATTGAGTTGGCAAATAAGTGATTGCGGATTTTGTCGATAAATGGACTTTACACTTTCCGCAATGATTTAGTTGCCAACCCAATAGAAACTAAAAAGATATCTCATGATCCGCTCTAAATAAAATTAAAAATTGATACAGGAGAATAAAGAAAAAAAAAGTGATAGACGAATTAGCTTATTTCAAAAAAAAAAAAAAAAAAAGAAAAAAAGAAAGAAAAAAAAGAAAAAGAAAGGAAAAGAAAGAAACGGAGATTTACAGACATTTTTTATATCGAAAGATTGAAAAGCTTTTCTCCATAATAACGTGCATGGAAGAACACAAAGAAGATGGTAACTACTACTACTTTGCTCTTCGAAGCTTAATCTTAGAGCTCTACCTCTGACCTTCCTTCCAAGAAGAGCATATAAGATAGGGTGCCTCTAATATATCACATTGCCGTTCAATACTGTATACATGCTGATCCAATGAGAATAAGAACGCGAATATATGTATATATGTATGTATGTATCTATGTATTTATTTATGTATATGTGTAAGATTCTCAACGGTATCGAGTCAGAAATAAAAATTCAACGCGAAGCGTAAATTCGTAAGTACGTCCTCAAAAACTCACTCGATTTTACACGGACCTCGTGTTCCATTTTAGGAATTACCCTGCTTTGAAGTTGTCGAAGAATATCGACTGGAATTCTGTTCGCCCGTATCTCTTAATGAACACGTTGGAAGATAAGAGATGATTTTTTTTTACATTTTTTTGAATGAAACATTAAAAGTAATGTAGAATCAATTAAAAATGTTTACACATTACTTTGAGATCACTCTATGAAATAAATAATAGAATGTGTTTTATATATATATATAAAAGTAAGTCAAGGTATGTTCGTGTGATGCTATAAATAAATGTTTGGAGATCGTTTAAAATATTAACATTAACATACAAAAATACGTATGTGAAGGATTTTTAAAAAGTGACAAAAGAACGGAGTTGTGCGTTTAAGAATGATATAGTGTTATATACTGTTACATTCAAGTGTGTACAGTTGAGAGAAAAAATATTTATTAAGTATATTATTTTTAAATATATATTTTATACTATTAAATAATATTAATTTTATAATATGTTTATATTTTATTATTATTGTAAAAATATTTATAATTTTATATAAGATTAACTATTAAAAAATGGCTATTATATATATATATATATGTGTGTATTACGTTGTATAAAATTGTAATAACGTTACATTGAGCTTTCTGTATACAGTTGAAACTGTATTTATTAAATATATTTTATTAATATATTTTTATCATATTTTTATATTATATTAATTATATATAATATTTATATTTTTATAATATTATAATAATATTAATTATATACCATTATAATAAATTATTTTTAAATATTATTTAAACATGTCATCTATTGATTTCTCATCTTCTATAATAACAAATGAGAGATCTATTCGACACACCCCACATTGCAATTGCGTGATAATATTTGGCTTGTCGCCAAGATATATTCTTCCATCTCGCGCATAACGTCTATTCGCCGTGAATTAGTATGATACATGGAAATGATCAGCATCCGATTGTCAATGATTTAATTTATCAAACTATCGTTATGTCATCGACTTCAATATATTCTTGATCATATAGATGTATTATACGTAAAACTATTTAAACTATTGCTTTCTTAAAAGTTTCCATTGTTATTGAACCAATTTATAAACAGTTTCACGCGCTAATTATAATTTAGATATTTTCTAAGTCGTTTATCTTATTAAAAAATTTCGAATTTTATAAATTTTACAATAATTAAAATCGATCATAGTCATTTATTATCAATAACGAAATGGATTTAAAGATTGAAATTCTCTATTAATGTAACATTCCATTGAGAAAGTTCACAATTAATATATGTACTTGTTTCAAATGTATTGCATGGAAAAATAAAACATCAAGAAAAATAAAAAGAAAAATGAAAAATAAAGAAATGAGCGTTTGATCTTAGGATCGAACGACTACTTACTCACCGGCTGGTATTGGTTCACTGTCCTCCGATCCAGCAAGCAATTCCACGCTCTTGCTCATTTTATTATCCGAGAGCGTGCATTAATCTTCGATATATCCGGCAAGTCGCCGATTTTCAGCCTCTTCTTGAAGTATAATTTTCGAACAGCGGATTCAGATAACATGATGTGTCACCGTAGTATCAATCGGCCTAAGGATCATCGATCGGAAGGCGAGAGAGCTCACGTTAGGAGGAATTTAACGATGATCCAAGATGTCGACGCGCCCCCGAGAGCATCATCGATTCTGCAGAATTTAACGCTTCGTCGATAAGCCGCCACTCCCAACCCTTCGTACCTCCTTCTCCTCCTTCGCCTAACGTTCTTTTTCTTCATTTTAGTTAAAGCTGCACGCGAAGGAATATAAACAGAGGGGGCTACTATCTTTGGAACGCTTCGATCGCGTACCGATCACTCGTACTCGAAGACACGTACCAAACAAAACCATTCAAATCTGTATCCACTTATTCTCATGCTTTTCGATATTTTTCGAAAAAAATTTAAGAGGACTAGACTGATTAACGAAAAAAAAAAAAAATCCTTTTTATTCCGCTTAACCATCAAAAGTTTTTTCAATATCCACTATTATATCAATTATATTTAATATTAATTATAATCAAATTAATTAACTAACTAAATTTGAATATTCGATATTCATTATTTTATGTAGAATACGTATGGATTTCTTTTTTATTTGGTACATAATCGATAAAAACAAAATATTGGATATATAATGTAGATTTTAAATAAAATATATAATAGATTTCCTATTAAATTATTTCGTTTGATCAGTATTCAACATAAAAATCAAATTTGTAATTGTTTCTATATAAATACGTAATTATCTCTTGAACGTTAAGTAAATTTAATATTTTATAGTTTTTTATATATTTCTTTTTTTTTCATTTAATTTGCTTATTTTTTATATTTCAATGTTTCAAGGCATATGTATATTACTAAATAGCATATTCCAAAAAATATGTTATTCATTTATATATATATTTTTTACTGGGAGTGTCTTCGAATTCTCACGATCGGTCGCCAATGGCGCGATAAATTGGAGAAGCCAGAATAAAAATTAATTAACGTAGGACTTGTCGCGTGAATCCACTGGTGCGTGTTGAATTAATCGAAAACAATGCTTTTCCTTTTCATCCCTCTTCTCCATCTCGCTTATACCTCGATTGGATAATTAAAATCTACCCACGTAATGGATATCATTCTTTGCTAAACTAACAATCCTCATGCTCTCTCAGACATTACTCTTCCTGATTAAAGAAGTTTTCTTTCCTCATGAAAAGAAAGAAATAAATAAATAAATAAATAGAAAATCGAAAGTAAAGAAAAAAAAAACCACTTACAAAAAAAATTTAAATAAATAAATCTTATATATTGTATTCAGATCATATAAGAATTCTATAATATCAAAAATAAAAATAGAATATATATATATATATATATATATATATATATATATATATTGTACATAAATATTTTATAGTAATTAATGTTTAATTTTCTGACGAATTATTTGAAACAAAAAAGAAGGTAAAATATTTCGAAGTTTGCTAATAATTATCAAGAGGACAATTTTCAATGAATCACGTTCAACTTTTATATCTATCTATATTTCTAGAATAAATGATAATGTTTATATTCTTTAATTACTCGAACTATGAAACTTTCCGTTTTGTAAATCCTCCTATCACTAACAGTCCCAATTGATGCATACGGGGCTTTAATTTTCGTTCAGAATCCGATGGCCCACTTTCTAACGACTTTCCAAGCGAAATATACTATCGACAAAATGTACTAACAAAACTGAGATAAAAAGAAAAAGAGAGAGAGAGAGAGAAGAAAGAGAGATAAAAAAATTAGAGAAAAAGTAAAATGAAATATTTTGTGAATGCTCATGGCTTATTACAGATAGGTGTAAAATATATCACCTTATCATACCTATGTCGAATACGTATCATAACTATGTTGAATACATTTCATAACTATGTCGAAATATTCGAAATATGGATTTCAAATTGTCAATTGAATTAATTGATTGATCGATTAATTCTGATCATCTTTAATCTGCGTTATTACAATTAACAAATTATTTCGTTTCTTATCATCCCCGATGTAATCCCAGACAATAACCCAACATATAAAAATGATTGAAATTATAGAACACGTTCGACATGTTGACCGTTTGTATTGATTCAATATTGTAATCTTCAAATCTCTGAATTAATACACGTCGGTATCATTTCTAAAGTTGCAACACATGTTACAATAATCCGTACCACGTTTAGCGGCATGGTTGAATATTTCTGATAAAACGATGCTTTTAGTGCTCCTCCAAAGGAAAAAATCTAACAATGTTAATTCTTAAGATTGAATTATAGATAAGATAAATAATTGTTAACATGAGACGAGGCAATTAAAAGATTACGGTTCTAGCATATTAGAAGTATAATATGTTAACAAGTATGTAGTTATTAGTTTGAAGAATACGAACATGAGAATTGTTACAATTAAATGTTCCATTATACTACAAGAATTATACTAAAATAAAGTATAAATTCCAATCGATAAAACAAAATTAACAAAAAAAAAGAAAAGAAAACAAAGTATAATTACCATTCGTTTGTTTCGTACCTCTTTAAAGAAAACGCCTACGTACAAAAACGATTTGTTAATATTCGATAAAGTCGATCGATAAAAACAAGAGCAAAAAAAAAAAAATAAATAATTTCTGTTCTACTATTTCGAAATAATTTTTTAAAAAGAATCATCCCATTATTTACACATCCTACATATCTACATATCTACATTTATGTACTTACTAGATACTTATATTTAATAGTAAATGATTCAAAGTTTTCTACTATAAAAGTTTGATTGAAATCAGTAAGATTAAATAGAACTTGGATGAATTTCATGAATGCCTTATATCACGAACGAATAATCACGTCTTTTCATACAACAAGTTACGGAAATATCATAGTTTTGTTCGCTCTCTGCTCTTAGTTAAGTTGATTATATATCTTTTCAATAAAGCTTGTTACCGTGCTCGTTATCGTACTCTTTCCCAAAAGGTTCTATTTAAAAGATTAAAATTCCACAGAGAAGGCTATCACCAATATCTTTTCATCAGTTATTATTTATGTTTCTATTTGATTCATATGGCTTTCATTATATCCGTGTCTTCTTACTATACCATCCACGCGTTTTTCAATTATTTAATGCGCAATTTATAGTAACAAGTGGAATTAATAAAGAGACGTATCTGTTTAACCTCTGTGTTAAATCTATTATCGGCATGAAAAAGATTTTTATATGAAATTACGAAAAGTTCTATATATGTGTAAAAAAATTTTGAACAAAATTTATACCGAAAGAAAAACGAAATTATGATTTTCATTAAATTCTAATTAATACGACGATAACGTAAATACAAAAATATCACCATAATGTGAAAATATAATAACTTTACTATTCCTTAATAATTTAAGCATATATACATATATACATACGTATTTTTTTTATTTTATTCTATTTTATTTTATTTAATGCAGATTTACGATCTATTCTATTTTGGAAAATAATGAGAAAATATGCTCAGAGGTATTTGGCTTATAGGGCGGAATATTGTACATTGGCATTTCAACCGCTAATAATTATTTGACTAGTTAGTTTTATATAATAAATAATAATGCAATAATGAGAAAGTAATTTATTAATTGTGAACATAGAATTGGGTAAAAAAAATTTTTATTTTCATTAACAAAATTTTTATTCATTATTGTATTATTATTTGTTTTTCAAAGATAAAAAAAAAAGAGCGTATATTACACTATTTTATTTCTTTAATTGCTACAGCAAACAACGAATTGTTTTTAAGTTTTCTTATAAATTCTATGAAATGCCCCTCTTCTAGACATCCATTCAATTCAGATTCAATGGAGCTAGACATCTTTTTACAACGTAATTTTTTATGTTTCCAATTTGTACTATAAAGTTAAAAAAAATTTGATAACAACGAAATCACTTAAAAGCTAATTCATTAATAATTGAATATGAATATTTAGATTTGTTTTACTCATTAGAGAGAGAATATCAATATTCTTACTAATTAATGAATTATATATCTACTTTAAAAAATTCTATTGCGGTCACGTTGAAACGCATAGATCGATATGGTTCCGGAAATGATTACAGAAAATGTAAGATAAACTTTAACTTCGAAACATATATAACGAAATACTGCTGCAAACATCGTAAATATATCATCCCGACGTTAACTTGTTCAAATATAATTTATATCCAATCGTATGAACGTTCAATAGAATAATTGAAATTATCGTGCTATTCGCAATGTTCGATTAATTAATTAACAACCTATCGAGTAATTTGCTTGGCCACAATGAATACGCAAAGAAAACTTTGTCATTGTTCCGTTCGTAGATAAAATACATCAATCGTTTTATCGATCACGTAAAACAAAAAAAAAAAAAAAGAATAAAATGTAATAAAATAAAATAAAATAAAATATCTTGAATAAGTGACTCTATTGATTTTCAAAGCTGCTATTTTATGCGCTTACAAACGTACATATATACATATATACATATATACATATATAATTATAATCGATTGTATGTATAATTTATTATTCTCGAGATAGTAATCGTTTTACCAACGAACGAGTTCATATATTTTTCAAAAAGAAAATGTAAAAAATTTTCCTATGAGAATGTATAAAAAAAAAAAAAATATCTCCAGAAATATAATCGAACGAACAAATTATCATTATAACATAAACCACTATATATATATATATATATATATATATATATATATATATACATATATGTCGAAATAATCATCTGTTACTATAATCTTGGTAAGGAAAATGAAATAAAGTAACAATCGGGCTAAATGCAGTAACAAACGTACGACCTAGTTGCTATCAATACTAGTATAACATGACGCCCGCATCCGTTCCATAATCTACCCTCTGCAAGTTCGACTTCCGGAAGCAAAAGTTTCCATTTTAATTACTGACACACGCAATCCAGACGCATATACAAACGCACATGTAAATACAAGTACGTACTGCTCCTTGTAGATTCTTTTTCTTTTTTTTTTTTTTTACAAGGTTTACTTAGTTTTTAATTAAGCCCGATCAAATATCAACGTGGATTTTGTATTTACTCATCCAATCGGTAATACCGAGGTTTGTTTACATCGGAAGAATAAAATCTAATCTTCGTCGGACGAATGGTATAATTTAAACCACCCTACCGATCAACGTAAACGATTCACTTAATCATATCGTGAAACTTTCAATGAAATTATATTTTTCATCTTAGGTCTATACATACATCGAAAGAGCAAAAGAATTTGTCGATTGATAGATATATATATATGTATATATATATATATATATATATATATATATATATATATAGATATATATATACTATATTATTCCGAATAAATTATATACATAAATTTCAATGAAAGGAAGAAATCTTTGGTTTCTTTTGTATCGTGTATATTCATAATCAGTTATCATTGACCTTTAACTTAAAACGAATACAAAAAATAAAAGATTGAAAATAGACGATATATTTATTGATAAATGATGTTTGTTTAAGTTTAAAAGATGATTAATATTTTCCATTCGTAAAACTCGTAGCCATAAACCTTCCAATATACTTAAATAAAAAACGTGGCTCTCGATGCAATAAGAATTTAATGCTTGTTGAATAGGGGAAGTCTAGACGCAGCATGAGTCGCTTTTTCATGGCATTTTTCCAAATATTCTAAACAGCCATTATATCGAATCCACGCTGAGCTAGGAAATGCTTTTTCGCCCTTTTCGTGAGTTACAAAGTAACGAAAAATCGAGGTTACTTCGAACAAGAGATCGTTCCCTTTATTGAATCTTGGAGATGAAAAAGAAAAGCTAAGGTTTTATCTAAAGTCCAGTGTAATATACTACCCGCCCACTATTCTCTCAAATAGAAAAGATGATAAATATTGTTGAACCCGAGGAAAACGATACTCGTTTTCTTCATAGATCTATATACCCTCGTAGTTAGCGCTACTCCTTGATATTTCCCGCGATGCACTTTTCTTCGCACTCTACTGCCTTGTGCACTTTTTCTTTTTCAGGGCAATCAATGTTCAAGGATCAACCGAATCGCGTGACAACGTCATCGAGCTTTCTCACGTTTTTTGCGGCGCAAAATGTATATCTCTGTTCTGTGATGTAAACGATGTAAAGACAAAAGAAGGAAAGAAAAAGGAGAAAAAGAGAGAAAAAGAGAGAGAAAGAGAGAGAAAGAGAAAAAGAAAAGAAAAGAGAACTCGATGAGAAAAAATTAAGAAAGATTGTAAAAGGAAAATTGTGAAAAAAGGACGAGAAAAGAAAGAATTATGTGTATTAAAGAGAAAGATAGAGAGTGAAAAGGAAGGTAGTGCAAAGTGAAAAAAGGGAGAAAAAACGCGAAATACGCGCTAGGAAGAACCTCGGACGCAGCACCAATACTCCGGCGTCCGAGAGACGACTGATCTCAAAGTGGTGAACCACGCAACCACCACCCTCTCGCGGCTGCTTCCCCCACTTTGAGATACAGTGCTCTTACGTACCGAAACAATCCGAAAAGAACCGAGCGCTGTCGAGTGGGCCCTAGTGAGAAAGAAAGAGAGAGAGAGAGAGAGAGAGAGAGAAAGTTCGGCTCTATCGACCGACGGCGAATGAAAGCATCGACGTGCAAAACACTACTTCCCTATCCATATATATATACACACACATAAACACATACGCACAACTATGCTTAGTCACTACATAACTAACACTTCTTACTGATACTGCGCTTTACTAGTTTACTATTACTACTACTACTACATACTACTACTACATACTACTACTACATTACTACTACTAATACTCCTACGACTATGATAGTTTCAAATGAAAGAAGAGAAGTACGAAGTATCCTTATCCTTTTGCAGTTCTTCCTAAATTCGCAATGATGAGACAATTTTATGATTTCTTACATGCGAAATTCTTTTTCTCTCAATGAAAGACTTTCATCTCTATGACGTCTGAATTTTCATGAGACCACACATCAGACACTTTGTCTTTTGGGAAATTCGATAAAAAGACGCTTGACCTCGAAAAGACTACTCATAATCGAGCCGATAGGTCGAACGGTGACAAACGATTATTCTTTTATCCTTTCGATACAATCTTACTCGGTTCAATAAAAAAAGGCGTACAATTTCGTTTGTACCGACGTGATACAGGACTGAAATAGCAAACAATTAAGATAATTAAGAATTTATAATACTGTTTATGTATGAGTATACGTATATATATATATATATATATATATATATATATATACATATATATGTAAATATACATTAATGGGTGGTTATTATCGTAACGCCCTATTGGCAAGTTAATGGGTACGCACGTTAATATGCGTGAATGTTAACCGTAGAAGATGCCTATAAAAGACGTTTATGATATTATGTCATTCTTCTTACAATAGAATCTCTACGTCGTTTCGATCATATGCTTGGATTGACCGCTTGATCAGACCGAAAGAGAAAAAAAAGAGAACTTATTTGAAAAAGTTACTTGATGACCTTTGCCCACGTATCATCGGCAAAACTTTATTCTTTACGACAGGACACCCACGTTGTCTGTGAAATCCATTTTTAATTATCAAGAATCACATTTCGAAACTATCTGACAAGGGCTTAGGGTGGAAATTAGGGATGGATGAGTAATTGTTAGTAATATGTGCTGCCATCTGCGATAAAACGATCATATTGATTTTGTTAAAAAATTAAACATAATTTTTCATCGTACCATATCAATAATTTAGGGAAAATAATTATTACAAAAACAATAATAATACTTAATAAATACTGCGTATGTGCCTGTGATTTTTTTATTTTAACAATATAATAAAAAATAAAATCAATTGTGATCAATTTGTCATATAATTTCATGTTCTTAATAAATTTTACATTATTATGATAATCATCTGAAAGTAAACTTTTTCATTATAGAGAAATTTATTTTTAGAAATATTTTGCAATATTAAAAATGCTTCTTATCGTTATGGAAATTTGTATGGAAATAAAGTAGGTATATAAATTATAAACACAATTGTATTATGTATTAAATATTGCACCAGATTTGTACACACATATATATATATATATGTGTCATCTATCTGAGGACATCTACCGAATGTCTAAAATATTTTATATTTTATATTTCATATAACTATCGACTATATTGTTAAGAAAAATTGAAAACTCATGTCGGCCATTCATCTCGAGCCAAGAACTAGGCCATGTAGTTTAGTCAAAGACGCTTAAGTATTCATTGAACTCATGTTAATCGAGTAAAAGTAAATATATCGACTAGTTGTAATATATAATATATGTAGCATATGTTTTTACCTTGGTTTTATGTGTGTATATAAATTTACATACATATATACATATATGTAATATGCATATGGGAGTTTGCGTGCCGCCAACGAGACGCCGGCAACCCTTTTAAGCTGGACCACATACACGTGCGAGTTATTTCATATATTTTACGTGTCTACTATAACCCTGAAATAGAGATTACCTATCACGTACAAGAAAAAAATGTATTACTTCGAACATATTAATTAATATATAAAATTACAATTAATAACATTATAAACGTATAATGAAACGATTTCTTCGTTTCTTTTTTTTTCAATTCATTTTAGGATATAAATAAATAAGAAGAAACGATTATAATATAAAAGATGATATATCCTTTTTATTAGGCAATGTACAAAATGTTCAGCATACACGGTATGCACGATCGTTCTATACGATCTCGTATAAAACCTTATAACGTTAAATCACAATAAAATGATCTTATTACAAATACACTCTCGCCTAACGTGTTATAGAGCTTTTTCTCGCTAAATAATTGAATCTATTCTAATCTCGAGATCTCATTAAATCGATCACTTAGTGACATCATTGCTAAGGTCGAAAAGATATTTTCCCATTTCATTCAATCCTACTCACTCACTCTCACTCTCTCTCTCTCTCTCTCTCTCTCTCTCTCTCTCTCTCTCTCTCTCTCTCCCTCCCTCTCTCTCCCTCCCACTCTTTTTCTGTCATTACCGTTCATTTATTCCCCTAATTCGATACACTCTATCTCACCTTCAATTTCCTTTAATTCCATCGATCAAAGGGGTTGCGAAAAAATAAGAATAGCCTCGGAAACTTTTTCTTATCGATGAATAAAAAAAAAAAAAAAATAGAAAAAAAAATAGAAAAAAAAATAGAAAAAAAGAGAAAATTCTTTATTACAACGAGAGGATTAAGACGAAATTTACGAATTAAATTGCGTCGAGAACGTTGTAAAATGCTCGTAAAAATGAGAAGTGTATAAAAAAAAAAAAGAGAGAGAAAAAATAAAAGCTTCTGAGTCTATCTATACGAATGGTCGGTTACTACAAAGGATACAATTTGATTTTCTTTGAGAGAAATTTTCTCTTTGAGAGGCTCTCGTTAAGAAGAGATCACTCGCTTTCTTATTATTAAAACGACGTTGCCGCTTTCGCGATTAAGTAATTAATGGAGCGTGTTACTTCGCATAAAATATCGCGAGAACGTTTTACCGTGCCTGAGAAAGCACGAGTAAAATCATCGTTGAATCTTATACGATTAACAATAATAATAATGATAATAATAATTATAATTATCGGATCACGGAATTATTACGGAAGAAACAACGACCTCGTTAATATGGAGCATATCATTTTATTTTATTATCATACTCGATCATTCTCGCTTCTTTGTTCCTTTATACGTAAATATTCTAACTAAAGTTTCCCGGTTTTACCTACTTCTCTTTTTCTTCTTACTGAGGTAAACAGTAGAGTTATTATATCCAGAGTACAACGATCGGACATCAATATTTTTCATTTATGATAACAAAAATGTAGACTTTTCAGAGCATATCTTTTTTTTATGCCAACGTCTCTACGGAATTTATTTAATTTAATAATTATAAGATTCTTTATATAAGATAAAATGGTAAATCTGAGCTGAAGATCTAATATTAACTATATCTGACTACTGTAAGAACAATTGTTAAAAATAAACAAAATTCTTATTTCTTTGTTTTTTTTCTTTTCTTTTCTTCTTTTTTTAGTTTTGAATAAAGATACGTATACTTTTTATTATACAAAAATTGTCAATAACTCTATCGTTCATCCTATATAATTAAAAAATGTCAACAATCTTGAGATTCTTTAAAAAGAAACCTAACGAAAACAAAAATTGCACGATTCGTTTGCGTTGATCCCTCGTGTTTTTTCATTATTATATATTCATTTATTCATTCTTTCTTTGCCCACTTTTACGAGCAATTTACGGAATGACAATGCCATACACCCATCACGTTCTCTTATGACGCGCATGTTTTCGCAACGATTCAAAGTCACTTTCAATTTCATTTCTTGGAATTTTTTCTTTCCTTACGCTCGTACGTACTATTACTTTTACAAAAACAACGACAACAATAACAACACAACGAAATCGAGCAACCTGTTAAAGCGAATGATAGAGAAGGAGAAAGAAGAAATAGAAGAGGGACGAGAATAGGGGAAAAATGACTTTTGTGTATATATATACAAGGAGAGAGAAAATATCGATTTGCATTAACAAGCGAGAAGCTGCTTCGTATTATCGCACTTAGATAGCGCATGATAAAAGAACTTCTGATACGCATGTATAGTATGCTTCTGCATAATATACCTAAAACTAAACTTTACACGTTTCTCTTATATACGTGAGCATATATATGTTTCTCTTTCTACGAGTATGTGTTTTGTATGTGTGTACGTATATAATCCGCATTAAGTTTTCTTTTAACGCGCACGCGCGCACATATACATGTGTGTGCTTTGAATATAATTATATATGTACGTTTGTACGCATTTCTACATAATATGTTATCATTATTTATAATATATATATATATATATATATATATATATATTATATACATATATATATATATTTTTCTATACGTAGAAATATATGCATATGCACTTTTCATATTATTATATATGTAATTATTTTTATAATTTACAATTTGTTGAACGCGAAACAAATGTATTCGTTCGCGAAACGCAGGATCCTTCATGTTACATGATATAACCAACCGCTCATACATAATAACGATACATATATTTATATATTTGTACGTATACATATATACACATATATACACGTGTGCATATTCGTGTGTGAACGTGCTTTCGAAATTTTTTACGGTCAATCCCGTCGCCGCATACTTCCACGTGTGTAAAATTCGATATTATTCCTTTTCTTTTTTTAACTTCGCTCGAAAAAACTTCTTTCGGTGGGGATAGAGAAAGAGAGACGAAGCGATAAAGAAAAAGAAAAAGAAGGGGAAAGAGAGAGATAGAGAAAGAGAGAGAGAGAGAGAGAAAGAAAGACAGGAAAAAGATAAAGGAAAGAAATACCGTCGACTTTGCTCTCTTTTTCTCTTTCTCTCTCCCTTCTTTTTTTTTTCTTCTTCGTTAATATTACTCGTTAACACGTATATCACAGATTACTCCAATACCGAACGTCTCCTCATTTATTTTACACGATATTAAACGAGAGAAAAAAAGTAAATAATAAAACTATATAACTCGAAGAAATTTACAATCTATTTTTTAATCGATAGGAAAAATAGTTTCTTCTTCTTCTTCTTTTTTTTCTTTTTTTTTTTTTTTTTTTTTTTAAGAGCAAAAACTTTTCGAAATGATATTTTATCGATACAATCGCAAAGATTCTTTTTTGTTAAATAAAAAATGATATTCAACGATAAATAAACACCGCGTCGAGAATGATGGCGGGAGTTTTATTTCAACCAATCGATTCTCACCGAATACTCGCTCGTGTTCGTTACGAAAAACCGAGCTAGGATTATCATAAAAGTAATAAAAAGATTTCTCCTCGTGGGACGGACGTCGAATATTATTAATATTATTATTATTATTATTATTATTATTATTATTATTATTATTATTATTATTATTATTATTATTATTATTATTATTATTATTATTATTTATAATTCGTCGACATATCATCATCTTTACTTATTTCTTTTGTATTTTCTTTTTTTTTCCTCCCTTTCAATAATACATTTTTCTTTTTCTTCTTCCGTGTATCAACGGAGCAACAACTTAAAAAATATAAGTGAACCTTAGGCACAAACACTTCGTGGCATATAGTTTTATATGATGCGATAAAAACGCATTGTATTCTTTTTTTTCTTTTGTTGTTTTTTTCTTGTTCATCTTCTGTACATCATAATACGGAAATAAAGTGTCGAACGTTCTTATGTATGTTTATTATATTAATAAAAAATGAAGGTGCTTAAAAAAATCTTTTATCGGAGAGTTCGGCAAATCAAACAAGCGAATTTGCTTCTTTAATCTCTTTTCTTTTTTCTTTTCTTTATGATAAATAAAATTCGTATACGTGTGTATTGCATACGCACATATGTATATATATATGTATGTATATGTGTATATATATATATATATATATATATATATATATATATATATATATTCACAGAAAAGAACAAAAGCGAGCAACAAGTTAGAATAATTATTAAGAGAAAATTAATTTTCTTTTTTTTTTTTTTTCTTTCTTTTCTTTCTTTTTGAATCGATAAGAAGTTCGCTGTTTCTATCACTGTTGTGGTCATCGATCGATCACCGAGCAAAAACGCTTCTCTCTACATGCTTTGCGATTATTATTTCATCAACGTTAATCGTCGAGTACAATCGATTTATCGACAACATTTATCTATTCGACACAACTTGGAAAAAATAGGGAAAATGTACCAAGTGAACCACAACATAAACACTGGATTTTATTAATACATTCTTTTTTGTTTTTTTTTTTTTTTTTTTTGTTTTTTTTTGTATTTTTTTTTGTTTTTTTTTTTTTTTTTGTTTTTTTTCTTTGAGGTTTCCTTGACACGCCTGTTTTTATAATAAGATCTCGATGAAGCTGCAGGAAAAGTGAACAGGCAAGAAAAAAAGGAGAAGAATCAGGCAATCGTTTCACGATATAGATGTTGACATTATGAAATCACGATGACTCATGGAGCGCATTTTAATGATAGGACAAAAGTGTAACGCATTGCACCATATATTTTTCAATGTTCCACACTTTATATAGAAACTTATCCCGATAAAGAAGAAAGAGAGATTGGAGAGAAGAATGGTAAAACATGGGAAGAATTTATCTTTAAATTGTACGGCTTATACGAGTCAACGTGAATGGTATCTTTTAGTTGCAAGAATTTTAAACATAAACACAAGTCTTCCTTATAGTATAATATTTGTATAATGATACACGCTCATCATCATAGAGGTACGTCAATCATCAACAAAGTACGGCAATCGAAGAAAGATTCGTACCTGCCTTTTTTTGCCTTTCAATCGCTACCTGTAAAATTATACAAGAGCCGCCTGCAATGATGTCGCTATTAACAAAATGTATGTTCGCGTGTATGTAGATATATAATGTGTATTTATAATATATATAATATGTATCTACATACAAACAGACACACGCACGCACGCACTCATGCACACACATGTATATATGTATATACGTTATTTTTGTTTATATATATGTGTGTATATATATATGTTGTGTATATATATATATATATATATGTATTTATAAGTGAATTAATCACACGTACAATCCCCCTGAAACTTCCTCAGAAAAGATATCTGTATCATCGTACGTATCACTTTTGTTGCCTCAATTTGCAATAATGAATGTATTCCAACGTGATTATTGATAATACATATTATAATATATATATATATACATGTGTATACACATATATATATATGTATATATGTATATATATGTGTATACATATATATATGTATATATGTATATATGTGTGTATACACATATATATATGTATATGTATATATATATATATATATATATATGTGTGTATACACATGTATATATGTATATATGATATATGTATATATATATATACATATATATATATATATACAGAATATCATTAAAGTGCTGATGTTATGATGCTGATTGATCTCGCTGATTAAATTCTAATGCTTTCGACAATAAGATCTTCCTCTGTTTCTATTTACCAGTTACCACTTCTCCCTCTACCACGAAAACCACCTCCCCGAAATTGTCCACCCCGTTTTGGTCCCCTCGGAACAAAATTCCCGGAAGACGGTCCACGTGGACCTCTATCCATCCAGGGAGCTCTAGGGCCACCCCGAAAACCACTCCTACCGCGAGGAGGACCGTTTCTCCAAGGTGAGAAGATTGCCGGTCCTCCAACTCGAGGTCGAAAATTCGGACTGTTACTATGCACATCGTACTCGTATCCTGTAGCAGGATGAACGTCTGTCGATGTACCGCACGATCCGGGATCGTTCGAACCGGCATCTGTAGCAACCGTTTGTTGCGGACCGTTCGATAAAATGACTCTTTTGCTGCAAATCACATCGTCCTGTTGCTCATCAAAATCACCATTCGTCGACGGTCTTTTCAGATCATTCGAGGATGTTGCATTAGATCCAATCAAAACCTCTAATTGTTCTGACAGCTGAGGCGCGTCCGTAAAATCTTCTTGAGCTTGATTTTCCAATGAGGAATTGTTATCGCCTATTCTTTTCTCCGTCAGACTAGATTCTGAATTTACGTGTTCCGTATATTCCGACACGGAGGTGTACTGATCATCGCGAGGATTCTTTGTTTCTTCCGACGAGATTGCAGATTCTTGAGGTGATTGTTCCTGATTATTATCGGAGTCACCTTTGACCAACTCCTCGTTCGTCAATGTGTGATCTAATCCAGCAGGATAACCGGAAGAACTATGTTCGGAGTTACGTGAACTCGATAGGTCCTGCTGCGTTCTGTGATCTTCGATTGATAACGAACAGATTTTCTCTTGCGATGAATTTTGAAGAACTTGCATACCTGCTGGTGTCTCACCTTGCTCAAAATCAGGCATAGCTATGGGCATGCCTTCATCATCAAGAATAACGACAGTTTCAGGTGGTTGTAATAACAAAGGGCGACTATTTGGAAGAATTTCTGGCGACGAGCGTTGTTGTTGTTGTTGCTGTTGTTGCTGTTGTTGCTGTTGTTGTTGTGGTTGTTGTTGCTGCTGCTGCTGCTGCTGCTGTTGCTGTTGTTGTTGCTGCTGCTGCTGCTGCTGTTGTTGTTGCGGTTGCTGTGGTTGTTGCGGTTGTTGCGGTTGCTGCGGTTGCTGTGGTTGTTGTGGTTGTTGTGGTTGTTGTAGTTGTTGCGGTTGTTGCGGTTGTTGCTGTTGTTGCTGTTGTTCCTGTGACCTCGATTTTCGGATACCTGTGGGAGTACGCTGCTTATGATTATGATCATCGGAATATCTTTCTCGTCGATTCCTTGGAAACCCTCGACCACCGCGGCCACTCCTTTCATTTCTATGAAAATTTGGAGCATCGCGATGTTGATGGTCCGTTGGTTGATACCTGTTGCGCAATTGTGATTCTCCGTGGAAATCTTGATTCGATCTAATGTTATGTTGATTGTCATGATATTCAAATTCTTGCTGAGCCTGTTGATGAACCTCGTGAAAACCTTGCTGCCCTGGAAGAAATTCTTGCTGGTTCTGAAGAAAATTTGGAGGTGGTCGATTTTGATGGAAATTCGCTTGATTCGGATGAAAGTCCACTGGCGCATTATGATGAAATTCTCCTTGAGTTTGATGAAAGTTGTTTTGAGGTTGATGAAACTGCGGTGGTGGCGGTGGTGGAGGCGGCCCAGGGTGAATAACATGAACGTCTTGCAGCATTTGACCTCGAGGTACTGACATTTGAGAAGAAGGTAATGGTATCATACGCATGTCCATATCTAAATGTTGAGTCTGCCCAGATTGCGCTGGATTCATTGCTCTCATATCACGATCTTGAGATCGAACATCAACTAATATTCTTCCTTTCGGTTTATTATCCGCTTCGTCGTCCGACATTTCCATATCAACGCTCTCCACAATATCGCCAGGCTGCATGTGTTGTCTAAATTATGACAAGATATAAAGTATATTATGTGTACACGCGTAAAAATTTGTATAAAATAAATGTAATAATTACATAACAAATCCTCACCGATAATCCTGGTCACTTGTGGACCATAAGGTATTATTATTTGGTAATACATTCAAGGTGGTATCATTAATGGTATTATGATTTGCAGGACTTCCTGTGAGACTTATCAAATTGCGGTGATCAACATCTGCTGCCTTTATTAGACTGTATGGTAATTGATTCTCGGATGTTAATGGTATTGGTATCACCCTATATATACATAGTAATAAAAGATATATCCATGATTTCATGAGAGAATAAAAATCGTTAATACACTACCTATGATCTACATCTCCAGCACTACTAAGAAGAGGCTCTTGAGGTTGTGAATCATTGTACTCAACAGGATCGGCGAAACCAGTTTTTTCATACATTGGTGGTGATTCTGGAGTCTCAGAAAGAATTTCACTTTTCCCTCTTATATTATTAGGCCAAACAGAGTCGTTACTGGACTCCCATCTGTCACTAGCACCATCTATCCATGAAGTCTTATTTTTTTCGTCATTTTCACCAGGCCAAGATGGATTCATACTATTTTTACCTGAAGATACATAATACACTATACTGTATTCTTTATAGTAATTCTAATTACAACAGAAAATGGATTTTATTTATTTTTTTATATTGTCCATACCCTTTTCTTCCCATTTTGCTGGTTCTTTGATTTCAGTTGAAGAAGTCCATGTAGGAAATTTAGGTGGCAGCTTATTGTAGCAGTTTTCGTCGTCGAGAAAAATAGGTGGTGGGAGAGGTGGAGGAGGTAAAGGATTTACTACATTCGCATTAGTAGAACCATCAAACGGCACAGTGATATTACTTTGACTATTTTGACTGGAATATGGAGAAGGAGTGTGTGATTCGGTAGGTAAGTTACGAACGGAAATAGGAGTGCTGTGGTTCATTGGACAATTATTTAAAGTGCCGAGAGATGAACCCTGAGCACTCATCATTCGTGAGAGCGTAGGAGTCACAGGAAGCTGCCCTAATGCAGGTGAATGTCTATAATTAGGACGCTGGGGAGATCCCACTTGAGGATCAGAAATATCTAAACCTAGACCTGGTATACCACCAGGATCTTGTGTCCCCTCTGATGAAGGAAGGACAGTTTTCAAAAAACTAGATATATTGAAATCTTCATTGTTTTCACTTTTGGAGGGCCTCATATTGATGACTTCTATTGGCTTTGGCTAACAGAATTAAATAAATTTAAATACTGATAGATATTCCATGTATCAATACATTACAACTTACCTCTAATGAATCACTATACTGTTGTGTCATCATAGTAGGTGTTGTAGATCTTTCATTAAACAAATTTCTCTATGAAAACATATAATATATAATCATTTGTACATACATAAAAGCATAATCATATGAGAAAATTATATCTCACCATATTACCAAAATCTACATTCCCTCCCATAAACGATGAAAAATTATTAGTAAAGTCTCCAGATTCATGTCCCTGTGTTAACTCCGGAGCCGGAACAGGGACAGGGTCATAATCATGAGTGTATGAACCATAAATAGATGGAGGTGCTACTTCTATAATTGCAGACTGATTTGTAGCTTGATTTTCATCCCCTGGTAGCTCTATATCGCTATCAGGACTTGGAGATGGAGCGTTCACATCGGGTGATGGAATAGGAGAGACCAATGTTGGTAATAATTCATCCAATTTCTTTTTCAAGTTTTTCACCCGACTCCCAAAGTTGCGATATGCCTATGTTTAAATATATTGATTAATGACTAAAAAAAAACATTTTGAATTGTTTTTCTATTTTATATACTAAATAGAACGTCTATCTATTGATAATGTACTTGCATTTGTTACTATTTTAACTTCACCACGTTGAGTCTCATAAAACTGATCCGCTTGTTCAAGTAATTCAAGAACTTGAGTTCTTTCTCTAATTTCAGCTTCTAATGCACGTACATAATTTTCAACATTTCTTACTGCCAAATCAACTTCTTTTTCAGCATCTTCAACACGTCTTCGATCCTTTAAGGATGCACAAAGCTCTTCTGCATTTTCTATATCTATATTACTATCTCTTAAGTCACGTAACCTGGCATCTGTTGCTTGTTCTAGAGTTGCACATGATCTCATAGTAGAAATCAATAATGCGGCTTGAAATTCTTCTGGTGCTGCAGCAGGTTGTGGTTCTACTTTTTTCTTTGGAGCAGCTGATATTAAACCAGATAAATCAGCAAGAAACTCCTCATCGTATACTTGTCTCTGATCCCAGATCTTAAATATTCGTAATATACGATGTTTGACTTTTTCATCCCTGACCATTGTGGTAGCACGTTGTAATGTAGTACCCCAAGATTCCACAAATTCAAAATTTTTTCTCTTGGAGTATTGAATAACATCATTAGCCAAGTAAAAGAGCGTAAGACGATGTTCCACTTTTACTATCACATAAAAATCACGTTATTAATTACTTAATGTCAATATTTATATAAATATCAATCTTTTGTAATAGATCATAATATAAAGAAACGTATATATCTTGATATAACAAATACACAAATGCTTGTAATATAATTTAAAATTTAATATCTATATTAAATCTCTGATTGTAAATTTTCAATGTAACATATAACTTACCCTTCTTTAAAACTTGTAACCAAGTAGCAACAATCTTCTTATGATGTTGTCGTCTTTCAAGACACCATGCTGAAAGACCTTGTATAGATTCTTGTGAATCCTTTAATGTATGAAGTCTTCGCTCAAAGAGCTCCACATCAAAATCACTTGTTGCCATTTTGTTGACGAATCATCAACTCGTTTGATAGTTCAAAAATTTAATTCCACTGCATTTTTTAACGTGAACCACCGAAAGGAACACGGAATAAAACGTTCAGGTATCATAAGTAAGTCGCTTACCTAGCACACAAACCTAACCAAATAGTTATTACTAATAGATCAACAGCTAATACAACCAAAAATAAAATTGATTATTAAATCACAATTCATTTTTTCAATTAGGCAACGTTCTTCAGTTTCACTTTTCCTTCATATACACAATCGATGAAACATTAAAAATCATTTACAAACTATAAAATTAAAACTTACAAGACCGACACGCTTAAGACGTCGCAATTGACGTAAACCTGAAGAATATAAGGGACAAAAAATTCAGTCTGTTAATATAACACAATCCTATTGTTGAATAAATGAAATTATTTGATGCACAGTACGTTAACTTTCGTAATGTATTTCAAACCACCGTATATTATACGAAGAATCGTGAAAACAAGAGTCAGCCATCTTTCTAGGACCAAAACACGACCGCGCAATGGCCGGCACGACTCATAAAAATATCATATAAAACTTATTAAAAGCTAACACGGATATGTTTCTACGTCTATTAAAACAATTATTTATATTTAATCAATCATAATATATCGATAGAAATTGGCATAATACATTCTATGAATTTGAATATTATTATATTTCAAAAATATAAATAATTTGAATATATTTTAATAAATCATATGAATTGTATATCAATAACAAGTGTTAATGTCTATAATCGTTTCATAAGAACATATTTCATAAAAAAATAATACTCCTTTCAATTGAACAAGTATATGTAAAATGTAAATGCATATAAAAATATTGAATTCCTTTTCAATAAAAAAACAACGATTTATATTCGTATATATACTTAGTTGTCCATTTATAGATACAATATGATATAATTAGATATATATCTTATTAACGATGCACGTTGATAGGTCAGATATATTTTACAATTGGTATCAAACCGTCCAATCATAAGTGATATGCGTATAAAGGCTTACATACACTTGCAAAATCAATAAAAAATAATGAATAATATACTATTATCTAATTATGATATTCGATTGACAATAGTAAAATTGTCACGATATCGAAAAAAAAGCAGGTATGTTAAAAAATATTTATTTGACACATCCTATCAAACAACCAATGAGAAGGCAGAAACTTTAACAATGAGGAAATAGAAATAAAATGGCGTCCATTTGCCCGCGTTTATTAGATTGAAATGAAGTTGATTCTTAATCTGTCATCCTCGGTTAAATAGTCTTTATTAAATAAATAATTAAAAAATAATGTATGTATATAATAATAGTTTTCTACATTGAAAGAAAATTAATAATTCGCAATAGTAGCCAAAAGAAAATTTGAACCATGACATATAGCGACAATTCAGAACTATGAACAACAATGAACACAAACAAAATCTAATGATACAATTATTACAATTGAAATAATACAAATCTAACGAAGATTTCATCGGCACAATTGTTATTATATCTAAATTCTTTCTACGTCGTTTAAAACAAATATTTATATTCCTTCGATCAAACAATAATTTTCCAACCTTGAAAGACATCGTTTCGTATTTTCCATGTAGAAAAAAAAGAAAAAAACACCGACGTAACTCTGCAGCGACGATATTAAGGATGCATTTCCTTTTTTTTTTTTTTTTATGTCTTCCCTGAAACGAAAACCAAATATAGACATATAAAGGAAGAAAAAAGTGAAACATAAGGAAGGATATAACGATCATGCCATAGACGGTAATCGAGAGTAGTGAGAAGAGGGCAGTTCGTTGGTGTGCGCTTTAATCGCAAAGCACAAGTCCCTCTACCTCTCTCTCACTCTCTCTCTTTCTCTCTCTCTCTCTCTCTCTCTCTCTTTCTCTCTCTCTCTTTCTCTCTCTCTCTTACTCTCGCTCTCTCTATCTCTCTTTCTCCTTGTCTAGAGCGTGAGCGAACATCGATGAATGAATCCTGTTGCGCAGAGACCGGTGGCTTCCACCGTAAGAGTCGATATATTCACTATATAGTCAATTGCATCTGTGGGGCAAAAGAGTGTGCGTGTGCGCGTGTATGCGAGGTGGCGGTGACGGCGACGGTGGTGGCGGCTTTGGTGGCGGGTGGCGGGTGGCGGTGGCGGTGTACGGGTGTTTGCTTGTCTCGATTCTATTCGACTAGTACACATATTCCTCGCAAGTGTCACGTCGCGGTCGAGAGAAAATTTACGTTTATAAGCGACGATCGTTCATCGAGGATCGTCTTCGTCGTCCTTCCTTCCTTTCGATTATCCACATTTACGTAGACATATATATATATATATACATATATATACTTACATACATCATACATACATACACATTTTAACATATATACGTATACGTATATATATATATACATATATATATATAATGTTAGTGTATTTCCTTTCTCATCCTATTTACGACGATCGTCGGAGAACAGGTTGGAGATGGATTTGGCTTTAAAATGAAATGCGCGATCGAGGATGCGAAAGGGAGCAGGCGTGGACTGTTCGTCGTCTGAGGTCAGGCGTGGGGATGAACTCTACGGGGACTGCGAGAGGGAGGAGGTCTGGGGCGCTTCCTGTGCTTGGCACTAGCCTAAAAAAGCTCCACAAACAGAATCGCGACCGAATGTCTTTTCAATGCAACGAAAATGGTGAAGTGTGGGAAAAAGTGGGCATTGAGTAAAGGCTTCGACTGCTCGAATCATGACAGAGTCGTCAGAGGAGTAAGTAATCTCTCTCTCTCTCTTTCTCTCTCTCTCTCTCTCTCTCTCTCTCTCTCTCTCTCTCTATATCTTTCTCTCCCTTTCTCTTCTCACTTGCTCTTTCTCTTTAATACTACCGTACCACTTTACGTATGACGATGGTTCCGCACGGAAAGACGAAACATTCATTACGTTACTGCGCTTTTTATGAGACCGTGCGTCCCCACCATGTTTTAAGTAGTATGCATTTCGTACACATCGTCCAAAGAGACGTTCACTCTTCTTTCTCTTTCTTTCTTTTTCTCTCTCTCTCTCTCTCTCTCTCTTTCTCTCTCTCTCTCTCTCTCTATCTCTCTCTTTCCTGTGTCGCTTTCCATAGTATCCCCCCTTGCACTTTTTTTTTATGCGTATTGTGCGACTTTTTCACGACCGTTAAATTCCCCCTCTTTCGGGAATCTCTCACGTTATCTTTTTAATGCTCCTCCTACGAATTTACAGATGTAAATGTATGTCGTATGTTCTCCTTTCTACGTACGTGTGGTGTGTCATCCGGTGTGTTCGTGCATGGCTGACTGTTCATTCATTGAATCGATGTCAGCGTGTAACATCTGCTATGTAGTTGTATCACTGACGATTCTTTGATTATTTTACCGGTGATTAGATGAAATACATTTAAATTGAAATCCCTATTTCCTATCATTTTTACTTTCGGAAGGATGTTTTTTTCGAATTTTATTAATTTTATTGATTGACACGTTTTATGATGTCGTTTCGCATATAAAGTATTTTCAATTACGTTCGACGAATTTTATATAAAACTCATTAAATTTTTCTTTTCCACGATACAATTTTTCTTGTTATATATAAAATATTTCCTAATAAGTGATAAGTATTACTAATGGTGGATTTAATACAAGAAACAAGAAAAAAGTTCATATAAACATATGTCCAATATTACCTTTTTTCTAAGTTTCTGAGTTTTTGAGTTACTTGAATATCGATTTACAAAATTTTAAAAATTTAAAGTCTTGATAATGTATAAATATAGACACGTGTTTCTTCTGTTATAAGGAGTTATATGGTTTTTATCTTGTGCTGAGCGAAAGTAAAGTATTTGTATTGTATTTTAGAGCTATTAATGTAGTAATATGTAAGATAGCAGGCTATCCAAGTCCTATTTTCTGATTAACTTTCTCTCCAGATTTGAATCCATTTGATTATTACTTTAGGAGTATCTAAAATTCATTCATTAATAATGTCAAGATACTTTGAGCAATGTTTTAAGCAAGATTGCTAATAAATTCGAGCACTACTTAGGATTTTTGAAAAAATCAAGTAATCTATGATAATATGTAAACTTGTATTCTAGTTAAAGATAGTCATTTTGAATACTTCTTGTAATCTTAATTATTTTAATTCTGTTGATAAATTAAACTGACTATAATTTAGAAAGATAGTTATATTGGACATACGCTTATATGAACTATTTGTCTTATTTTTAAATACTGAATCCTGATTCAGTATTTAAGATTTCTCTAAAATTGATCTTTGATTATTGTTTTTTAGTGGTAACTACTTAGTGAGGGTTCGTGCCCAAGTAATGACAAGAGATGACAGTTCTGGTGGATGGGTTCCTCTGAGCGGTGGTGGCTTAGCTAATGTTTCAGTCAGACGTAGAGCAACCTCAGTGGGTGGACATCAATCTAATAACACAAATGGTACAAGCATCTCTACTTCGAATGTTACCACTACAACTTCGACCACCAATTCTCTTTCGAGTACAACTGTCAATGCACAAGGTCATGGATCTAGTACTTCTCCACCTAGTGCGACAAAAAGAAAACACGAATATCTTATCTATGGGAAACGTATCACTGATCAATCGGTAATACTGCTTGGTAGTTTAATAACAAATATAGCTTTGTATTTTAATAGCAAATCATAATATTAAATGCTTTATCATACTATAATATATTTTTATATATTCTTTACTTTTGTAGGTTGTTCTTAGTTGTACTATCAAAAAGGATTTTGAATATAACAAGGTAATGCCAACTTTTCACCATTGGCGGACAGGAGAGAAAAAATTTGGATTAACATTTCAAACAGCAGCAGATGCAAGAGCATTTGATAAAGGTGTACGTACTGCGGTGGAAGAATTATTGGAAGGTAAGATTTATAGTAATATATATTAATAATTTAAATTTGAAAGCATGTTAATTATATTAAAGATACTGTGTTACTTTTTATGCTTTGTATTTAAAATGTGTTTTTAGTATTATAAAGTGATTTATTTCTTCTGAAGATTTAAAAAAAATGAACAATTATTTATTTATATATAAACAATATATATATAAACAAATAATTATTATTAAGAACACATTCAGTATACAAGTTTATTATTTTGTTATCTTAAATAGTAAATCTGTAAAATAAATAGTAAATCTTAAATATACAATAAATGGTGATATATCATTAATTATTAATTTTGTTGCGCTCGTTATTTTGCTGCATTTTTATGTGGATTGTACATCTGGTAAGCTGTACAAAAGAATATGTAGTCTATCATTGTTAGCTGTACAATTATTAAATAATTAAATTTATTAGTATTTTGTTATTAATATTATAGGACTTGCGGAATCTACATTGTGCACCAATTCAGCAGATGGCGGCGATGAAGATGTTTTTATGGTAAGAACTAAAATATTTTAAATTAAGTATTTGGTACTCAATTAATATTTTTTTTAATTTTACAGACCTT